TATGTATTTCATATTTTGTTGTGTGAACATTAGAACTACCAGTAGATTTCTTATTTTATAGTTACTGAATTCATAAAGGTGCTCTTGTTGGAATTTATACAATTTTATTTGGTGTGCATTTAATATTGATAGTTCTACTGTTGACCCTGTGTCTTATGTCTTATATAATTCACTGTGTAACAATTCATCATTCGTATATTTTGTACGAATTAAATGGAATTGATTTTACGTAATTTTTATATCATGAAGTTGGTTATGGTTTTGCTTTGAGAGGTTGAAGTATTAGTCGACGAGTGAAGTGTTCCGAGAAAAATTAATTTCAGTGACAACTTGACGATCAATAATAGTGCAGTGGATTATTAAATAAGGAGATCGACTGTTCAGATCACGTCAGATTCTCATGTGTTTTTTGAAGCTCGTTTAGTATGATTAATTTTATAACAATTAAGCTTGAAGCTTGATACGCGGTACAGAAAGAACTCATTTTTGGAATCAGATATTAATTTTGGCTACTGATTATGAAATTTGATGGAATTAACAAAGTGTCGAAAAAAATTGAGATCTGTGTACCTTTCAGATTCATTGTACTTTGTATAGACGTGAGTTTATTATAATGACGGGCTTCATTGAATTAATATCGTTATCTGAATGCTGTGACAAGTAATTTATTGACAAACGATGTCTAATCTATCATGAGCACACCTTCAATCTTCCACTGAATGAACGTACTAGAGGTGAGACAAATTTGCAAGGAATTACGTAACACTGTTGCTCTGTCGATAACGCGAGTCTTATCTTCGAAATTATCGACGCCCTCTTCAAAAATGCATCACCTCTTATCTTACAATCGTGATAGTAAATATTGTATGAAACATAAATTTCGAAGTAATTTATAATTTTCGTATGAAGTTAATTAAATCTCGAAGTAAAATGACAAAAGTTTTTAAGTCATAATTGCCCTTAAATAAATACGTGTATATTATTCTTGATAATTTTTAAACAACTCCTGGTTGACAAATAGAAAGTTTAAAATATTAAACTTGAATTTTTAGATATTGAAATTCATGTACGCAATTGACACTTTGACATAAGTGGATAAACACTTAATGAAAGAGAAGTTTCAGGAAAAATTAGTAGTCTTCGTTTGTCCTTAATACAATAAACTTCCTAATACATGAAAGAAGTTCTGCTTTTATGCTTGGAAAATTGTTTAATAAAATAGGAATTTGCATGAACATTCATAGTTTCCAGATCAGAAAATCATCAATCAATTTTACGCCCTTTACACCATTCAGAGAAGAATTAATAATCAGCTGGCTGTAGAAATGTTTACCTCTGCACTACTGAATGTACCCAGTGAACGTTCTCCTTTATACTGAATTGTCCCGCATAAAGAAAGGTCATACCGCGAGCTACCGAGCTTAATAGGCTATATTAAAGCACAAATGGCAGATGCATTTGTATAGTCGGTTCGTTCCTGCGATGCTAAACGTTACCGTCATGATGTTTTAATTTCACTCAGCTTTCCTTTATATTCTAATAATTTTTATTTCGTTGATTCACATAAGGGTTCATTCTACCTTGTCGGTCAAAAAAAAAAAAGTAAATTTTCATGAATGTTTTGTCCAAGAACTAACAAACAGATTTTAATATTTTTTTTCATTAAAGCTTTATTGATTCTTGCTTAGAATCATATTTCTGATATTTTAAAAATATTATTACAAATATCGTAACCATAATAAGTCAAACTCGCAACTCCATTTGACGGAACTTTACAGGAGAGCAATAACACAGTTTAGAATTAATTGAACTTATTAAATTACAGAAAATACGTAAGTTTTTTGATCTTTATTTAATTTACAGGAGCTGCGGAATTATTTAAGAAAATGTATTTATTTTGAGTGCTTTGAATGGCACTAAAATGCAAAATTAACTCAAAAGTGGAGTTATGAGGTTCATTTATTAAGGTCCCGATATATGAATTGATGACGTAAAGGTTTTGCCTCTATGAGAACGCAAGGACCTTGCGGAAGTCCTCCTGGGCCTCAATGTGATCCTAGAAAGATAAAAATAGAATGATTATGTTATATAGGAATCTACACATAAACTGAACTACAGTTAAACAGATATCAACTATACTTTTCGTTTAAAACATGAACAAATACCGAAAAATAGGACCAAAAATCGAAATTTTTTTTTATAAGACTACCATTTTATAAACACTGTTGATAAATTATCAGTTCTAGACCACTTTACGTGTACATCCCTATAGAACATAGTGATTCTATTTTTATTTTCGTTAGGATCACTGAGACCCACAACGACTTCCACAAGGGGCTTGTGTTCTGTCTTGTGAAATGTTCCAAGAATTGGTGGGGATAATTTCGCCTCACCTAAACGGGGTAAAATGAGTCTGTTCAACGGGCACCGTTGTATTCAGCATCAAAAAGGCTAAAAGTCTCTACACGGGACCTGATTTATCTCTAATATCATCGATTGTTCAATTAGTCCCAATGTTTTCTCATCCCGCTGCGCCTACATTCCTGACGCGGCTGATTGGACGGACAGACGCGTTTCACCTTTCGCGAAAAGAAAGAGAACGACAGGGGCGGGGAGACACCGAAAATAACGAATAAGAGAGTCACCGAAAGGAAAAACAAGGAGGCCTTGGAAAAATGTTGGTCTAACGACGCGAAGACGGTGTCACCGTGGATAGCCTGAAAGGTTTAACGGCGCTTGGTGACGCGCCAGAAAAGATTTAAAGGGAGCAAAGACGCGCTCGGCGTCAGCCTAGCATCGCGAAATTGGCATCAGTCACGTAGCTCGGATGAATTCGAGAATAGGATCGATTCAACGGTCAATTATTGCAACAAGCGCACCTGGAGAAAAACGATGCACGTTTTGCGCCGTGTCTGCTGCGCTAACCGTGCGCGTTAGTCACGAACGCACGACATGGCGGGTCCTGTCCTTAAGTGGGACGTAATCACCGCGTGACTTATCTTTTGTTTCGTGTCTGCAAAGTCGTGCATGTGTTACGGGCTGCTTTGGACAAAGTAAATCTGGATTTACTAATGGAGATAAATAAGGTAAATTTGATTTACTTCTGAATCGGTGGACACGAAAATGAATCTGATGTACAGGGTGTTCCACCTAACGTGAGCACTTTCAATATTTCACTTGTTTTTGAAGATACAAAAAAAGGCGAGGGAATAATGTTATTTATTAACAAGAAGCTGCCAAACTATTCAAAATCGCAAGTAATTGTAGGTGATAAGTTCAGATTTTTCGATAATCATGGGTCGTCCACCCAAAAGATTATACTTTCAAACAGATTACATATTACACTCGTCTATTGTAATTTCTATAGCGAAACAATTCATTTCCATTTCATTACATGACAATAATTAAGTTCGAACACAGAAATAATAAAATATAGTATAATTTTAAAAGTCAAGAAAAATACATAGGATTAACATTTGTTAGCATGTCCCTTATAAAAATATAAACCTCAATATTTTTATTAATATCGTTCGTTTAATTAAAATGACTAGCAATAAGCAGTAAATTTAATTGCTGTATCACCTTACATTAGTGTTATTAAAAGTTTTGATTTATTTTCACCAAAAAAATCTCACTGATCGATCGATAAAACTTCGTAAGCATACAATAAAAAAATTATATTTCCATTTTTATCATTAATTTTCTTCATAGAAAAATAGGAAATCTGAATTCCATGCATTGCTAGAAGCTCCTACTAGACCGTTCCTAGCCAACAAGTTACTTATCTTTTATTACAATGAAATGTTTCTTATCACTGTTACAAATCGATAGAATCCACGAACTATTTATGAACGAAAAATTAAATTGAATGTCCTGATCCAGGGCCCCAAGTAACCGCGGCTCGTCCTTTATTTCCATCACGCGATCTCGAGCACGCGAGCGTCCAACTTCATCGATAGCTCGTCTTTTATCCACGATCTCGCGGCAATTCGGTTAGGTTCAATCAGGGGGCACGGGTCAGGGAGCTGGGAACTGTCGCAGTCATAAAACGTGATCGCGCAAAATTTGAGTTCTCATGTTTAGCACGTAAATGTTAAAGGTAAAGCTTGCGGGCAATCAGGATCAATGCAATCGCAATTGTTGTTCCCTTGATTGGACCGGTCGGATCGTCGATTAGGTTATTCGCGCGTCGGCGCCAGGAGAAAAATTTCAGGCGGTAAACAACAGTTGGAAGTCTCGTTGACATTCTCCCGTTAGAGATGACTTCAGGGAAGCTTGTGCGCCGACGATAATACCTGATGGTATTGGGTTAACACCGTCCGCTCTACTAATTATGAAAAGTAAGAGCTGGAATCGATAATTGAGCCCCTGAAACCAGTAGTGGTGTTTTAAGTCATTAAATATGCTTTTGAGATGTTTTGAAATATAGAATAAATCTTGTAAAACCTTCGCCTGATTTGGTATACTTGTATGAGTGTATCAGAATGTACTGATATAGATGATATTGAGATATCAACACCACTTCTTGAATTATTATACAGTGAGATTATTTATACACCATTTATGCATAAGATAGAATGAAATTGAGGTGTGAATCAATTTTTACTGAAGTTTAGTCAATATCATAGGAAAATAAATTAAATTTTGTCAAAAATTGACTTGCATCATAAAGGAATATTTTAATGTATACTGACGTGCAAACTTTGCTTTTGCTAGAGGAAAAGCTGGCGTAGGGGAAGAACATCTTACCACTTGGTATCGGGAATTATTGAAATTTATGCCAAATTAACATTCGATGTAACATTTATTTCAGTACTTGAAATAAATTTTCTCAAGTGGTAGGAAGTTAGCCTTAGTTAGCCCTACGCCACTTTTTCCCCTATCGGAAGCAGAGTTTGCTCGTGAGGGTACAAGTTAAACAATTTCTTCCATTAACGCAGCGAAGTAAATATTTTGTTGGTGATTGACGCATACCTAAGGTACGTATTTTTGTGTTTCAGGTACAAATGCAAGGTCACCTGGCAAAACCTCCCCGGCGGGGGTGATGGGAACCAGGGACAGAGGGGGTAGAACAATGAAGGATTACGAGGACCAATTAGAAGCTCTCAAAAAGGAGAATTTCAATCTAAAACTACGGATCTATTTTCTGGAGGAACGAATGGGCATTACGTCGGTAGATGAAAATGCGATAAAGAAGAATATTGAATTGAAGGTTCTTATTTTCGAAATGGTCTTTTCTCATCCGTGATTAAAGAACTTTGACAGTACTATAATACTTTGTAACCGAGTACTAATAATGATTTAGGCATTAGGAAAGATAACTGATTAATTGCTAAGCAGAAATTCAGATTTATAATATAGACTTATTAATTTGGTATATTAAGAAGAATTTGCTCTTACAATATGTAACTATGCCTTATTTTGTCCACAATTTTCTTTTATTTATGTAGATTCTTTTATATATGAATGTTTCAGTTTTTTTTGTTTTATTACTACAGTTTGAGATAGTTAAAGAGAAATTCTTGTGATTATCAGGTCGAAAATGAATCACTGAGAAAAGAATTGGTTGAGAAGCAGGAACTTCTCAGTCAAGCGGCCAAGGCGATTCAATTAATTGAAGAGCAGAAAGAAATATGCTCGCGGAATGAGGCTCAGTACCAGCAGTCGCTGGAGAACGAACGGGAGAAGGTCCGAAAACTTGAGAAAGGTTAGTAAAAGAATTAAGAAACGTTATTATCTGAAGCCAGTAAACTTTTCGAACGATAGGAAGTAATTTTACGGTAATTATATTCAATTTAATAAGTTACGGAAATAATTTTAAAAATTCACAAATCTTGGTTAATTTTTTTTTAGTTCGTTGTATTTTAGGCAATCCCATATATGTACTAGGAATACATAAATTTCCCGTCAAACAACAGAATTCAGTAATGTAAATTGACTGAAAAGAAAAAGTTGCAAATTAAAAATTATAACGCAACATTGGTCTTTAATGGGTTAATGAGTTTATTACGGCGTGTTATATCACTTCGATAATTCTCAGTTGTAACTAAGTCACTGCTTCGCTAAATTCCACCTTTGATTTATCCCCCACTGCGTTTCGCGAAGCTAATTTATTCCCGGTGCGATGACACGTTGTGCTTCTTTCTGTCACGACAGAATTAGCGGAATACCAAGAAAAGGCAGATGCGTCCTTATACTACAAGCAGGCATTCGGGATCACGTCGGAAAAGGCAGTGGATACCGAGGAGAAATTGCGACAAATGGAAGAACTTGTCGCGTCCCTGGAGGCCGAGGTAAGAGAATGTTGACACAAAGTCGACGAAGTATTAGTTTAATGTGCAACTTTTGTCAGTTTTGCAACTATCATTTATCCCTCGCATAGCCGATCATCTGACAGTAACACAGATGGTGGTTCAATAGTAACCCATATCACAATGTTTATTATACAGGGTGATAAAAAAGGGTTTATAATTTTTAGCATAGATAGTACTCGCCAAATAATGAAAAAAATTCCTAATAGACGTAGGTCGAAAAATTAATATTGCATTTTCAAAGTTATAAACAATTTTTCTTCATATATAGATGACCACAGAAGAATACAAAAAAGTTTTTCGAAAACATTGAAGAAAATTTTGAAACGTTCAGATATCCCATGGAGTTAAATGCGCTACAGATAAAGAATTAAGTTTTTCCACTAGAACAGGAGCTGATAAGCAACAGTGTCCTACTTATTTTATCTTTTTACATGTATCATCTCAACGTTATCGTTGGTCATTTCCTTCAACGACCGCGAAAAGAACCCGCACCTGATAAGCGGGCTATCTTCGCTGGGAAAAAACGAAAGAAATTAATCAGTTCGCCCCTGCTCGTCGACGGGTTCACTTCGTTATCGTTTTTCGTTGTTTGAATATTTCAGGCTGTTGTTTTGCTTGTTCTGGAACGGAAAAACAACAATAACGCCATGCGTTCTTTATCGTTTGCAATTAATTATGTGCATAGTGTTGTTTACGGATATCACGTTTTAATTATCACACACGCTGATACGTGACAGATTATCACGTTGCATTTATTGGCCATTTTTCCGGGTTTTTCTACAATTTGAAATACATCTTAACGTGCCTCGAATAATTCACTTTGCACGATTGTATTACAGATTTCGTTAAAATACTTCGGGTTCATTGACTTACAGTTGTTTTTCAAGCGCTGTCACGCATGAGACATGTATTTTTTATACTCTGGACTTTGAATCGCAAATCAGACGTGTGTTGCATAATTATTAATACTATATATGCATAAAATCCGCAGTACATTAATTATTCAGTGGTATTACTAGATATTACAGGGAAAGCGATTAAATACTTTCATTTCTAATACCATTTGATTAACGTTATCCCGTAAATCTGATATTTCGGGTAACGTTGAACAATATTAATTGTAAAATAAGTTCACTTCTTTAGATATAAACAATTTCAATGTAATTGTTCTATCAGCAGAACTCGATATTATAAAACAAGAGTAACGTAATTTTAAGAATTTAAGATAGCATGAAACACGTTACATATTAATTATCCTATCAATCTAATTCCGTCTTATAACATAAGGGGGTAAGCAAATCAATTTATATTCATTCTTAACGTACTTCTAAAAACTTGAGGTTCGAGGTAACACGGGACACGTTAATGGACAGTTAGCTGTACCTCGAAGTATGAACAATAGCATCCTGATTATTTCGTCTCGTGAAAAACACAGGTGGAGCAGGTGACGAGCAGCTTGAACGAGGAACGTAACTGGACACAGGAACTCGAGACCGAGAGGGATGAGCTCAGGGAACGTTTGGAGGCGGAGACGCGTTTAAGAGAAAACTTGGCCGCTGAGAGGGTACAGGACACAGAGGCCCTGCGCGAGAAAGTCAAAGAACTGGAGGAAGATCTTCTGAAAAAGGACATCGACGTTCAGAAGTGCCGAAACGATTTGGTCGAGACGAGACGAGTTACTAAAGAACTTAACGCACAGCTGGAGAGCAAGTGTCAGGCGTTCGACGAGCTGAACGAAGTTGCGGAGAAACGAAAGAAACAAGTCGATCAGCTAAGGGTGTCTATAAAAACTAGAGACGACGCCCTCACGGACCTTAATAACAAGAATCGTACACTGCTTTCTCAGGTGATACATCAATTTTTTTTTTCTATCGTTAATACTTTACTCAGTCCTTTCATTGCTGATGGCGTCTTTAGGCGTTCAGAAAAAACTGTCCATAATATGTGGTTAGTGTCTATAATCGCTCAAATAAGTCTAGTCATAGGATCTATGTTCAAAACATGGGTTTGGTATTGGTGCTGCATTAACAATAAAATTGCTGCTAAACGTTATTTGCAAATTTTTATATAAAAATGTGTTTACAATTTTTTATTTAACAACGCCGTGGATTTTATAAATTTTCTTAATTTAATATACTCCACGTTTACAAGTTTGGAGAGGTTTTTTTCAAATTCAAATTAACAATAACCACAAATATGGTATTTTATAGCAAATTCTGTAACTAGTGTTCTTATTTCAAACACAGAGCTCTGTAACAACCAGCATTATCAACGTGAAAATAAATGCCGACTACGAATGTTAATTGACCGTTCGCGAAAGGCTTTTAATCATAGTCGAATCGATTTTGATTACAGTTCGAGAATGGTTACGCCAAACGATCAGTACTCGCCAGTTCGTCGACGACAAAATCAATTGAAGACCCGTTACAGTCGAGGCTAGGCCAGAAGATAACCAGCGCCGAAGCTGTGACGAAGAGAGAAAACACTTGTCTCGATTGGGAACCGAACAGAGAAAGGTCATCGAGAGCGAAATCACCAACTGATACCCTCTCCGGAGAGACGAGATCCGTAAGAGACCTGAAGAAGGTTTGCACTACTTATAAGTTGCTTTACTATCGAAATACAGCCATTGATATCACCGAATATGTGATTCTGTACAACAAAAATAAGCCAAAAGTGTGCAGACAAGTTTTTGATAAAAAGTTGCGATTTTGAGAAATTCAATTTACATACAGTAGAAATTCGTGTATCAGACGGTTCAGATAATTGAAACGTTAGTGGCGTTAGCGGTGCTGGCAAGGTTCTTCACTATTAAAACTCCGTTTTCTCTAAAGTGGAATTCCTTGTATTGCATATTTTCTGTTTATTATTGTACATTGAATTATCAACTACATGGGCCGTTATAATTAACCAATGCAGAGACCCATGATTAATTTTTTTCTGCGATTGTTTCATTAAGTACACATTTTTCTGGCCATATACATTGTGTGTGGTTAACCACATGTAAAATTATCTAGTTAAAGTACACCCCATATATCCTGTAGGTTACATCTACTTATACAAATTAGTATAAATAGTGTTAGTATAGCAAACAGATACTTGAGTAGTAAGTACACTTCGTTGTGAACACATTTATACTTCTTACCCAACCACATCTGTCAAGATCATCTAATTAAACGTATGCAAATTAACACAATACAGTTGATTTATTTTTGTACTGTACAGGATCTAGAAGAGAAAGATACCGAAATAAAACGTCGTCAGGAAAAGAATAAGCAACTGGTACTGAAACTGTGCAACATGCAAAAGCATCTAGAAACTGTAGATTATAAACTGAAGAAGCTAGAAAGTGACCACGAGAAGGCGCTCAAGACCATCCAAGGCTTTATGGAAAGACAACAGCAGTTGGAAAGCAGCAAGCTAATGAAGGAACAGAAGATCATGGAACTGGAAATCGAGCTGAGTCGACTACGGGAGGGCGAAAGCTCGAAGCCAGGAAGGGACAGATGGGACGAGCGTGATCCCAGCAATCAGGTCGACATCATGATTTTTCAACTCTGCTCCACTGTCTCTGCGTTTCTGAATAACGATATAGTCACCACAATTTGTTCCATTGCTGTAACTTTCTCGCGACGAATGACCACTATATTGACCACGCGCAAAACTATTCTTATGTCACAATTCCTTAATAATTTTTGCAAAGACGTCACATTTTACGATAATCAGAAGCAAACTCTGTGCGAACTAAGCGCGGATCTGACCTAGATTTTCCTTCATTTTCATTGACACTTAGCTACCATCGTACAATTCATGTAAAGGTCGATTCTTAAAGGTAAATTGTTTTAATACCTATACGAATTCAGAAACACAAAGACGACACTTGGATCTTTGCAATGAATGCCGCTTAGAGAGAAAACATAGTCGCGGAATGACTTAGTATTATTAAACGTTTCTCTTTCTTTCAGAGACACTGAACTCACCTAACATCTCTTCTACTGCTACTTTTCTGCTTTACTGACAACATCACTTTTACTGCATGACACCTATCGCCTTGGGGTACCGTTCGCCATTTTTTGTTTTGTTTATATATTGACGATGAACCGAACCATCGCGACAGCGTTCATTCTGCACACTTTTACCAGACTGGACTAGAATTTTTGCACGCACGGGTCGAGAGAAACTTTTAGCCATTGCTTGTCCTCGAGTTCTAATAATTATTTTTTTTTTGTATGGATTTTTTTAGTTCTAATGTTTCTTTTTATTCTTATTGTTTGCTGGATTCCGTCCAATTCAGGGGAACATTAAGCGACCTTCTTTTTCACTTATTTCTTTAATGTTCTCTGTTAGGAAATAACAGAATTTTATGCGCACGTTTATGCACGGATTTCGAATTTTTATGCATGTCATGCGTGGGAAAGTACACTTGTGGTACTTGCAGTTATAATCTAGATATATTTACTGTAGATTATAAAATGAAGTACAGTTACTACACAGTTTATAATCTACAGTACAACTTTGTATACAGTTACTGGTTATATGTACGGAGACAACGTAGAATTTTGTATTTACAAAATTTATTTAAATACATTTAATGGTCGTAAATTTAGAATTGTAATACACTCAGATACATATAAATATAACCAGTTCTGTACGTTGTTGTCTAGGATGAAACTAGCTTGAATATTAATGAATTTTTGTATAATTTTTTACAACGTTCTCGTAACTAATGATTCTATAAAAACACTCTACATTGCTTTATGATAGTATATCTGAACCCTGAACCATTTAACCACAACACATTCTCACTTCTTCCAATACAATACCTAATTGAGTATTATTTAAGACAATTGCTAATTGATGGGGTAATCAGTAATTAGTTGTTAAAGTTTACAACGAATAAATAAGTGATTCACTTTGCATCCACCAATTATCTAATTGTCTAATTTGACTCTAGATGCAATTCTTGAACATTAGGTACTTAGTTCGAAGAGCTGAAAGTATGTAATTTATTTTATGTATTGTTTTTCTGTATTAAGAAAATTTCCCATATCTGATTCATTTATTTACTACAGCAAAAAGACTTTTGTGTATTTCTTTCACTTTCATCAAAATTTCCTACAGAGTTACATAAAATCTGGAGAAATCTGTTTATTACACAAGACACTGAGTGGTTCCTCAATTATACTCTCAGATGAGTCTCCATGGACCAGTCTATATATAGTTTAATTGGGCTCCAGTCCAGATCTTTAGGTTCCAAGGTCTTTCAAAATCCAAGCTTGCTCTTGATTTCTGACCTGTGTATTTGCTATGATCCGAGTTCTTTTACTATGTCAAGACAAAATTTATAAAAGTATCTTATGGATACCAATGCAATGATAGCATTTAGGATTTGGTATCAGTTTAGGTATAACACTTTATTGTCACTTTAATTCTTCGTTTACACTATATTGAAGTAATTGTCACAAAATTGACTGTGGAAACAAATTTTATTATCTCTTGCTTGCCTACAATATTTAATTGCCTTACGCTGAAAACGATGAAATTGCTTTTCACACAAAAGTAAATTAATACCCAGGTAACACATGACGCCTTAAAGACGATTTAAAGGCGCCTTAGACCTAAAATAGCCGTAAAATAGGTGTCCTTAAAACGTCTTATGCTATCTGGATATTGTTAGCTTACAAAATAGGCGTGAACTGTACCAGTTCACTTTTCTATGTTAGCATGAAAATTCTAAAGCACTCAAACAGATGGTATCGATCTCGTATCTTCTCATCTAGAGGAAAAGTCAGTTCATTTATTTATAGACAACTAAACCGCGCGTCTCTTGTCAAACACAGATACAGTGACATCTGTAAATCAGTCCATGGATCTCAAAGTTCCTGTAATCTCGCTCGGGTTTAATTTCATCGTCTTTCATTGCAACGTCATTTAAACGTCTTTGATTTAACGAGGAAGTACGACATTACTCCTCAAACAAAGCACCCCATATGTCGATAGTCTTCAGACGCCTGAAGGCCACAGTTCAGGACACTCGACGTTCATCGTCTGCCATTAAAACCGACCCACGCGAATTCCATGCTAAACGAGCACGAATTACCGATGGTCGAGCACTTAATAAAATCGAATGAAGAGAGTGGCTACTTGCTAAAGATCGGGGGATTTTCGTGGAACACCAAGTCCCCCCGGCTGCATGGTATCTCCGAGCCACCAAACCGAAGACATGCCTTTCGTCTAATAATAGAGACAGCCTGCTCGCGAAGTCTGCACGATCGGTTCTCGGCAGTCTTCGCACGAAAATTCATCTCGACTGTACCCAACCACCGTGGTTACCCTCCACGACGAACGACAATAACAAAAAAAAGAAAAAGAGAAAAAAAGAAAATAAAAAGAAACAATTAAACTTCGATCGACAGAACCCCGATCAGGAGACTCGAGAACGCATCGAGAAATCCTTTTCTATATCTTTTCCGTTTTTTCGATAGAAAACGACTCGTTTCGATATTATACGAAAGAAAAAAATAGGTGACGATACTTTACGGTTTGTTATTAATTTTTTCTGATTTTGCAACGAAGTAAACGACTCCCCCCGACGAGATTCAAACGGAGAACACGTGCGACAATTTTCACGAAACCTAGCTGACTGAGCGACGAATTTTTCGCGATCTTCCGATTCGATGAGAGGAGAAGTGCTCGGAGGTCGATTCGAAGATACACGCCGGTTTTGTGCTTTCACGGATATTCGCCAGTGCTAATTGTATCGTAGCATTTAGCGTCGAGTACCGTTACAGATTTGATTTGCATACGTTACACCGAACGGATATCGAACAATCGATAACGATGTTCTCCTGTCTGTGTGCCTCGGTGAGAATGGAGGTAGGTGATGTTATCAAGCGTTTTTTTTTTCTCGGAGGAGGGTCTGTGAAATTGCACGGTGTTCCGTAATTTCCAGTGTAATTAACGTGCTAGCAAGAAATTCTTCATATGAGGTAATTTATAAAAATCTAGGTTTAAAATAAACAGCCGTCACGTTTATTCGTAGAATCATTTTTGAAAATCGAAATAGTGAAAATTATAGGCAATTTGTATTGAAATGTTTGGCAGATCTTTAAGTGATTAGGAAGCCACTGTAATGGATATGCTCGGGTATCTTTGGTTTTTCGAGTAGAATTTTAATCGCATTAAATATATTATAAATTTACACTTATGTTTATAAATACAAAACAGATAAGAACAATGGATTGTGTTGAAATTCGTGTATTTAAATTTTTTGGAATCTTATGAATGGATAACATAGATAATAAAATTGAAAATTGTTCTGTTTTTTAATGAGGTATCATCCACATTTCGATTGTTCCAAGAATTAGGAATTTTTAAATCCATCATGTTTTGATGATTTTGTATTTAATTATTGTTATATTAAATAGTACACTAACTAAAAATAATGATACTTTATAATTTATAGTTAGTACTTGTAGAAGTACCTCAGTACATTTATTTTTAATTTAGTACAGTATAAACTAATCTGTGACACATATATGTATAGGCTGGTCCGTTGGAAACACAATTGATTATTTGTTTTGCTACTGTAGATTTGAAAAAATATTATATTAAATAGTTTTCTAAAATGAAAGATTTGTTTTTATCTGAAGAAACTCGTTTACTCTTCAAAGAAAAATTCAACAATATAAGTACTGCAATTATCTTGTGTACTGTATAACAACGAAAATAAAAATTCTATAATAATGAAGTCTTAATTTTTAAATATTTTCTAAATAAAAGGGTAGAAAATGAATTTGTAATGTGTAATAACCTGTGAATTAAAATATATCAATTCTCAATGTTGCCTTTGATTTTTCTAAATGAAAACTGATCCTTAAACAGGATTACTACATTATGGTTTAAAGCTTTGTAAATATTTCAAGAAAAAATAATTCATGATTATTTCCATTATTTTCATAAATAATATGTCTGTCTGAAGATTAGTTACAACGTTTTCAATATCTTACGCACAATAAATAATAAATTTTATTTTGCGGATTACCTTGTATTTTCAATAGTTGCAACACGATAAATTCGTGACTCGTGATTATGTTTATAAGTTTAATCAGTTTCCAAAACTAGAAAACTATAAAAATGAAATCTATTTGACTACATCACCGCAAGACAATATTCCCTCTCTATAGTCTCACTAGTCGGGACTGGTAATGCGATTATAGAGAACAGAAGGCACAATTCTGCAATAATTTCATTGGTTAAAAATTCATTTATGGACTTTGTTCTTTCCCCTATTGTCATCTAATTCTGTGACATAGTGGGATTACAATGTGATTATGAAGAGCTTAACAAAGCACGATTATAGAGAGGGAATATTGTATTTTCTGTCCTACACTCTGATTAATTTATATAATCTTTTCTCTATATCATCTTCATTCCTCATGTGTTACCCAAATAGTATATTACATCTTGCAGTCGTTACTGTTGAGGCTTTAGGTTGTCAACAGTGTCCTTTTGGAAAAACAATCCAAACAATACTACTATTTTGTACTATTCGACTGTACTATTCGATCCCTAATGAAACTGTCCTCAACAATGTCAAAACATTGAGACAATTTCTTTACCAAATTAAGTCCCTAATAGCTCATTGCTACACCACGTCTGTTCCACCGTGGAAGAGCTTTGTCAAGAAAAGTTTCTCGATTTTTATATCGTCCACTGATACAATAAAGAGTTATTTTTTCAGAAGAACACAGTTTACATCTGAAACTAACGACCGAAAGTACGATGCCGGGCCATGAAAGCCTCGAATTTTCTGATATCTGCTCTACATTTAAAATACGGATTGCATCTACAGAACGGCGGTAGAGTTAAGGTTGAAAGAATTAAAGTCACAAACTCGATCTATGTTTTTTCTTTTAGGGGCCAGATATCGTTACCCTTGTCTCGCCGCGCAGTTGGTCAAGAAAACCGAAAATCTAAATCCCCCCCTTCTGCACCCCCATATATCACGATCAAAAACTCTACACGATGTTACGTAGCATGCAATGACCACCCGCTTCGTCCCTCATACACCACTCCTCCCTTCCCATTATCGTGCTCTACGGGGTTTCCACATGCTCCACCGAAACATTCAAATCCCCCTTGTCGTTTAACTCGCACGCATTTATAATTATGTACATACACCATATGTAATCGCCAACTTGTTCTACAAATAAATCGTTTCGCCGATTTATTGCCGAGTTTCATTCACGTGAACAATACTTTATATGTGCAGCAACGATTCGACGAAATGGAAGCGAAAATAAACGACCTACGAGACCAAATAGCGACGATCAAGGCCGAGAAGAGTCGTTTGGAGACGCAGATACAAGTTGAATCGCAGGTAATTTTCGTTTTTATTTCTGGGACTGAACGAGGCCGAACATTCTGGGAAGCATGTAATTTATACGAGTGCTGCAATTGGCTGAGATGTATAAATTGTCGGTCGCAATGATTCATTACTCGTGTGCGATGTTTGGAGCTCGATTGCTGAGGCAAGTGAAAGTAGCTTTTGTTTGCCAGGTTCGTTACGATGTTCAAACTGAATCAAAATTACTAGGTAAAAATATTATGTTGAAATGTAAATTTTAGTGCAATGAAAATAGAATTTGTAATACAATAATGTGGTTGTTGCGACCCAATGCAGGTAGGCGATGGTCGTAACGCTCGTCGCGTTTTGGGCAGTCAACACGGTCACCAAATTGTCATAAACAGAGATTCCTGGACATCATGTGTAAAACATTCATGGTCCTTAAAACTGTTCCTTATATTTCGGCGCTGTCTTCTAGGAATCCAAAAAAGAATACATACATCAAACCCCACTTTTTCCAACTCATACTGCCACCTCTTGAACCACCTACACCAACCAAAATTCTGCATTTTCATTCATTCATCAGAGATGAATTCGATACGCAGTCGTTAATAAATTAATGAGTAAGCGTTAAAATTGAATTGAAATTAATAGGTAATTCAGGGAGAGGTTTATCGATTAAATGATTAAATTTGATACAACTGCCTTTACACGATATACATTTTACACCGAAACGGAGGTAAAACCTAGAATTATAATCTCAAATAACATTTTCAAAAATGACATTTATATTTTAAACGCCGATAAAGTATTGATCGTATAATTATATAATCATAAAATGAATCATATGAATTAATATATGCATGGATCTCACATTTGTTTTTCACCATATAATTATTAAAATTATATAATTTAAGTTTTTGATAATGGGTAATGTTTTAATGTTTTTATAGAAAAAACAAATTACAATGCTGACAATGTTTTTATAGTAGTCTTGTTTGTGTATCATTTTTTTCATATCTATAATTGGGATAAAAAATTATACTACGCATGACATGAGAATTAAACAAAAATTGTTCTACTTTATTTTTTCAACTTCACAAACGCCTTGAAAATTTATTTTTCCTCATTTTTTTTGGATTGGTCATCAAGTTTGAGTATGAAGGTTAATTACTCTAAAGTATAATTATTTCTAAAAAATGTTTCGATTATCCTTATTCTCACTCTGTTTTGATATTTTATGACTTCGTCCTTTTGTTTCATTTTTAACTTTTTTTCAACAAGCTTTTTAAGTAGATTCCATTAATATGAAAGTAATTTCGACTTAAATAGATCCGAACAACAATGTGATTTTCTAGTCTACTTTTTTTTTAATCAAACAAAACAGTATATGAATATTATACATACACAGAGTTTATTTGCGTCTAAAGAGCAGGAAAGAAATGCTTACACACCAATTTATGAAAAATTAAAAAATTTATTTCCTACATTAAGAATTGTATACGGTTGACAATAAAATACAAACTAGATCAAAATTTTCTATTTTAATAGGTTTGAATTAATTTACTAATAAATTAAGTAACTCAAACGAATAATTTATTATAATACTTCTGGTAATATTGTCACCTGGTAGATTTTTCCATCGAAAGGTTAACTAACCATAACCAAAAGTGAATTTAATATACGTTAATAAAAATTTATATTGTATTATAAATTGCAATAACTTTTACACGAGTACGAAGCAAAAGAGAAATTCATCAACAAATCTATAAATGATTCAGAAAAACAAATGAGTTTTTGATAAGATTTCATCGTATGAACAATTCAGTATTCACCGAAATTATATTTCTTTACAGGAGCTGCTAGGCCGCTTACAAGACAGGGAGCAAAAGATCGAAATCCTAGAAATCGAGAAGCAGACGATAAAAGAGCAGTTAGATGACAAGGTTATTGAACTCGAGAAGCTGAAAGAAGCCACGAAAAACGAGCCTGACGAGTGTGTGCCCGAACGGGAGGACCTTACGCGCAAGATAGAACTCCAAGACAATGTGATCGAGGAGAAGAACCGAAAGATCGAGCAGCTGACGAAGGAGCTGCAAGTGAAAACGCAGAATCTCCAGAAGCTGGTGAACACCGAGCTATGGAGCAAGAACAAAGAGATCGCGAAGCTCCACAACCACATGACCGCGAACAATGGCCACGAGAGGAGCCGAAACAAATCGGACATCGTGCACGAAAGCGCCAGCACGCAGCTGTCGACGCTTATCAAAGAGTTGAACGACATTGGTATAAAGGTGACGTTTACCAATGAGGTGATACAATTGAACTACGTCGACGGGAACGAGCCCATAGACGTGAAAACGATGACAGACTACGTACAGAAGCTGTTGATACAGAAAAACGAGTTGGAGAAACAGGTCGATTACCTAAAATGGCTGAAGCTTGTCTCCAGACCGGACATCGCCACGGAGATCGATGGATACGGGGACAATGAAACGGAGAGAGCCAGAAAATACTGCGAATTATTGCGTACGCATTTGAAGGACCTGGTGAAGTTCATGAAGGAGATGTTGAAGAACGTCGATCACGCGGACCCATTTGGTAACGAGCGCAAAAAGATCGTTCTCGATGTTCTGACCAATTCGAAGATACTGTCCGACGATTTCTTAAACGCCCTCGAGGGAATTTCGACCAACGATATACCGTTTAGTCTCGAAGGAACGAGCGTGAGATCGATCGATGGCTCGGTGAAGAAGAGCCGATCCGAGAATATGCTCAGTGCTACGAAAAATCAAGCATCCACGCAATCAGATTCGGAGGCGTTCTCGGAACCGGATAGGACCGTTTCTATGGCCAGGATCGGGCTACAGGAGACGCAGCAGAAATCTTTGAGTCGACCGAGGTTCTCCAAATATACAAAAACGTTCAGCGATTCCGAGGAGTCTCTGGAATACGTGCCTTATCACAAGACTTATCAGAACGATTTGAACGACACGGAGGCGAGCAACCAGATCCAGGAACTGAAAGAGACGAACGCTTACCTGTACTCCGAGCTCAGTGCCCTTAGGAATGAACTGACCGCCAAGATTTCAGTCGATTGTGTACGTATCGTGTGATAAACATTTTTATTTAGTAAAGTCACCGGGGAAACTGTGTTAATTTAGCGATTATATTAGTGTTAACTTAACTTGAAATCTTATGGAAATTGCAACTCTGATATTTTTGCATTGAAAAAATAACTTTACATATACAACAAAATACAAGTGACAAAAAAACGATCCTTTATGATTAAGATAAAAGAAAGATCAAGTGCGTATCTTTAGTAATTCCGGAGATAGAAATTTTGTTGTGCGGGTAGTTTTCGTAAAAATCGGTGAAAATTGCAAAATTTGAAAGTCTGTATCTTTCAAACAATTTCGAAATTAGCGAAATGATGACATAAACCCTCCCTATTTTCACATGGACTATAATATATTTCAATTTGAGCAAAATCCCAGACATCGTGTACAAAAGTGATCGGTTTGACGTGAAATAACTCTTAAAGATTTAAAAATAATTGAATATTATATTCCCTTTTTAACAATTGATTACTGTTCCAATGTTAATATGAAATCAAATCTTGAATTTTACAGGTATTCGATGAAAAAATATCCCCGTTGATCATCAAACTGGAAAAATCGCAGAAATTCTGCGAGAGATTACAGATTTCGCTAGAAAGGAGGATGCACGAGGTTCACACGCTGAAGAAGGAAAACAAACAGAACAACATGCGCAGAACACAATTAGAAAAAAAGCTGGTCGATCTGGAGAGCATGGCCGCGGAAATGACCAAGCAGAAAGCGGAGTTGTTGCACTACAAGGAAAATGCGGAAAGAAAAGCAACAGATATGCTCATTACGCTTAACAGGGAGAACGACATGGTAACAAAACTCCTTACATTATTACAATAATTTTTCATATTATATTCAATTCTACATACTGGTATTATTAGAATGTTATTTAAAATGTAGAGGAATTTTTGAAACTTCAGAGGTTTATGCGAAGGAACATGTTAATAATTTAATATTTAAGAGATAGACGAATATTTTTAATGTACTTTCAAACAATATTAATTTTGAACTTACTTGGAGATTTGATATAGTGAAGTATAAAATTGTAAGAAGATATTCTATTGATCGAAATGCATCGCAATAATTAAAAAATTATATATACTTCTATCATTACTTCTGTTTGATTGCTTCAGACCTAAGTTATGTTCACATATTATGAAACATTCTGTATATTATAAAAAACAGGAAAAAAAGAAGTATTGTTATTGTGTTACCGTCTAAATCATGTTGCTTGTGATTTCAGTTGAGAACGCGAATCAAGAAATTGGAAGATGAAAATGAAACGGCTAAGACAAACATAACAGGGTTAACGAAAGAGCTCGACCATCTAACTCTTTCACACAGTGAAATTCTTGTGGAGAACACGAAACTGACCAACGACAAACTACGCTTGGAGCAGGAAATTAGAAAAATGGAAAGCAGATGTGACGTGACTGTTCGCAGCATGCATGATAAATTTAACAAAGAGGTAAGATTTTCTGTGGTATTATAAAAATTCGCTTAATTCATTATTGACTATCTCTTAAAATTGAGACAGTATACCCAGTCAGCCATACCTGCAAAGCCAAGTTTTGAACGATTTATGAATTAAAGAACGAAATAAAGTGTGTCTGGTTACGTATAGCATTTTTCGCTGTAGCAGTCAACATGGTAAAACGGTTGGTACTGTGTCTGGCCATTATCTACTATTTCCACTTGCAGGAAACATTGATCTTACAGACGATACTGTTTTTGTTCCATTAACTTAAGTATCTTTCATCTATTAGTTTCTATCAAATTATTATAATAAAAATGAAAACTATAATATTATAGGCAATGTTCATAATGATTACCTAATAGATACCTACTAATATCACATTATAATAAATCGATCTGCGATGCAAGTGGTGTCTAAATACACACCAACGTGATTGATTTTCAACATCGAGTTAATCGGAAATGAAGGCCACATTAAATACATTATAATTCTTTAATTATTTTTGCATGTAGAATAACCTGTTTCTCAATTGTAAAAACAGTTACAGATTACTTATCCCGCTCGAGTTTAACTTAATATAGAATTTTAAAAAGTAAAGGTACAAATTATATCCATCTTTAAATTATCTTCAATTTCAGATCTTGGATCTCAATCAAATCAACGAGTCGCATAGAGTTCGACTGCAGGAATTGGAAGTGACTAATAAGGAACTACGTAGGCACGTTGCAGTTTATGATGCAAGCGACTCAGCGCCAAGCTCAAGTGGCGTATCCTCTATACCTACGGACGGTATACTCAAGCAAACTTGCGAGGACATCATGCAAGAGTATCAATCGTATAACGTTAGTGGCAAATATTTATTAACCATCTGATCTTTTTTACAAACGGTATCTTATTCAGGTGATATCTTCATTAGAATCTTTTGAACTGCGTATCTAAGGGTTGACAATCGATGCCTGGACATTAAAGCAGCAATCTGATGATATTTCAAATTTTCCATTTTTTATATAAGAATTAATAGTTACGGTACGCTGCATGTAAAACAAAGTTCAAGTTTTCAAGTTTTTTAATTAATTTCCTAGACAAAAAATTGATAACTGTAGATGAAACATTTGTTTTATAATCTCGAACTGTGCAAAACATTTAATATAATCTAGTATTGCACACACATTGTTCAAAGTTGCTACCAAAAGTGAAATTGATACATTCCAGAATTCGCAGTATTGGTTTCCCGTGAATTATCCAACGCTCGGTGGACGCAGCAAATCGAGCTGTTCGCCAGATTTAGGGATTGAAAGTGATGCGGCTTTGTCGACCATGAGGCCGTTAAAAGACACTTTGAAAATCACAGAGTCGATGACCAATCTCTTGAGCGATGAAGACAATAGCAACGGTAACGGGCCAGGTCGAAACGCGGATAGCGAGAGTCCGTTGCCGATAGAAGGTAATTTCTTATTGAAATTAAACCTCGAGAGAAGTTACCATTTTTTCAGACCCTTTATTATTTTAAAAACTTTCTGATAATTTTGCAATGTTGTTACTATGTTTAACAATACAATAAAATTTTCTAACAGACCTAAACATGCTTCTTTACAGCGAAATAAGAATGAAATTTTATTTTTCAGGTTTAGACGAAGTAGAAGCCTTAAAGCAGGAGAACGAAACGTTAAAGAGAAGGCTGATGAAAACAAGAAGAGCATTGGAGGACACTTTCCAGCATTTGTCTGCGTCCAATAAGAACAAGAAGAACGTCGAGAAGGCGATAACGAAGCAATTGCAAATTACCAAAAGTATTCTAAAGAAGACAAGGACATACGAGGAACCCTTGGACAACTGACAGAGATGGGGAGGCTAAGACGAGCAAAGAAGGATCTTCCGCACAGAAAAGAGAATATAAGAGTCGCGCGTTTAATATCGTGGAAATAAACACCACCGTTTATTTTTTATAATCACGCCTTTACGGTATCTTTACCGTTCACTTTTTTAATGCCTCGAACAAATCATATCCAACCAAGGCGTGGCTGTTATATCTTGTATAAAATTACGAAAAAGTATTTTTCATACACTCGCGTAACGTCGATGCTAATACGTGTACACGTAAATACGAGACGATAAATCAAAATGAATACTCCTCGAAATAAGGCGTAACTGTACATTGCGAATTTTGTATATAATCGTGTAAGTGTTCTGTCAAGACCCTTTGTAGATTGTTTCTCCTTTTCCGACGATATACGCGATCTTCCGGCCGAAACCGAAACTGTCCTTTCGTCGTATCTCGTTTTCTCGACGACAGAAATTCGCCCGCGTGTACATACGACCACCGATGTATCATTACACAGCATCTGTACATAGTCTTCACCAATAAAGTGCCATTAACATTTGACGAATAATTGCGTATTGAGTCCTTTCTCTTGGCTGTTGACCCATCTGTGTAGATGATGGGGATACGCTGGTAATAGGACCGGATGGGGAATGACGTTTCGAAAAGGCTTGAATGTGCTTACAGCTCTAACAATAAATGTCTTTAATATAATACAAAAATACTAAATATATACATATAACAGATCTAATATATTCATATTCAATTGAATAATTATTCTGTAATATTTAATAATACCATATAGAATCGATTAATATGCGATAGTTTACTGTCTTTAGTTCTTACGATTATATTTAATATATTTCTAAAATATTTTCTGACATACGAGAAGAATTTTATATCAACAGATTGATTTTCTTCACTGTCTACTGTTATTAGCTCGACTGCTGCTACGACCTCTTTTGCGAACCTTACAACGACAAGGTTTGACATCCTCGTTCAAAAATGGAATTTCTCGTTGCAATTTCTCCCATAACTTTTCTTTCACGTGCGTCATGAATTCCATTGCCCCGTCATCCCTATACAATAAATTTAACACTGTTATTAGAATTGATCTCCATCTATTGGGTTATGTTGCGAGCAATCGTAGGTAGGCTTATTTCTTTATTTTACATTTTCGACTATTTTTTAATAAAAAAATCACTACCTCGTCTACGGTACCACCAACAGACCGTTCCATACATTTCTATAATTCATCCAACAAGACGAGTCAGTACAAATAACAAAAACATTCGCATGCTAAGCCTAGATATTGGATGGTAACTATCTCTATCCCTGTCCCACCTAAATGACCACCACCTCCCTTTGTTTACAGTTACTGGCTCGAGTTATTGGATGAGATATACTTTCATTTAATTCAATTGTCACGTCTGGGTTAGGTAAACACCAACTACAGGACCTCGTGGGTCTAATCTGTTTTATCGTCGTCAAAACTTGCGAACCTACAACGACGAGGCTACCAATTAGCAATAAGGGAGACACCCACATTTTTGTCAAAATTTAGCCAATAAAATAGAATCTCCCTTCTTCACAGCTTTTCTCACGTCATACCCAATTGTCAGTTGAAATTTAGCCATCGACAAAGTTTATTCGGTGTGTGAAGTCGCGAAAAACTGAGGCAATGACGCTAAGGACTTCGGGGCGCAACACCAGTTAGATATAAATATTCTATTTTATCATAAACAGTACCTAATTATTGTGTAGTCCACTGCGTCGGTGATGTGCAATGTGACAAGGAAAAACGTTAGCGACACGGTATAAGTCACGACCGCCATTAAAGATTTGTTTGTGAAAAACGCCACAGCTGCATCTTCGAGTTCGAGCCGATGAAGTAGCTGTTTTATATAAGTGTACAAGTAACTGAATTATAATTCGGAATTTCTTTGATTTTTGAGTTTTTAAATTTATATTTTTTCCCTGTAACACTCGATGAGGTAATAAATTGTTACGTTACCTGGTAAATTCCCTTTGGTAGTGTAGTCAGTAGGAGTACATTGATGGGGGTCCAAATACAAGCCAATGCGAACTCCAAGAAAAACGCTGCTGCCAGGAACTAAATGCATAATAAAAATACTAAACAATAATAATTTTTCTAGACAATAGGCGTTGCATCTTGTACATACGATTGAATAATCTAATTAATGATTTAAATAGTATAAAGTACCACTTCAGAGATAGGCAATCTAACACTTATCACCGTGACTTTATAACTTACGATTAGGCTGCGAATACTTATGGAAGTTCATGCTTTTCTAAATTCATTTTATTTACTTGATCGTCCAATTATTTCGAGTCGTGTATTATAGTAACAAAATAAAGTTTATAAATAACTAACCTCATAAAGTATCAGGAAAGGCACTTTAGGTTCCCGAAATGATCGTGGAAAAAGGGTGGAATCAAGAATAATAATATAAACACCGAGGCTAAAGAAAAATGAGCTAAGTGGTGGTCCCAGGAGAAGAGATTCGCAATCCTCGTCCTCCATGGCGTTGTCGAAGCAAGTTCGAAAAATTGGAAGTCCAGAAACGTTCAGCAAAAGGGCCCAAATTGTGGGAAGCAGTTTTGCCATTACGAAAAACAATACAGTTTTATCGGCTTTGACTCTTTTATAATATAGATATTATAAATGCATAATTACGGTTAATTCGCAAATAGACATTTGTCTTATTTGCGAGATATCTCGAATTATTCTACACCGTTTCGATTGTTACTATATATCTATGTATAAGCAGCCAATGCATGAAAATGGTACTTAGAATCAGTGGCCCGAGACATTTTCATTTTAATTAAAAAATACGGATTGTTTATCCGAATAGAAATAGCAATCTATACAAGTTGAATAAAATCATTTTAGTTACACGAAACTGTTGTGCTTTCAAGCATATTTTTCATTAATTATTATTTAGAATATTTAGAATTATAATTATTTAGAAAAATTCTATAATCTTTTTATCCATGTATCCAAAAATTCAGTGTGTCGAATTCTGTGTAGTATAGTTAATGGTAAAGTTGCAAGTAAAACACAGTTTATTACAAATATTACATTTGTACATCGACAGACAGTATAATATACATAAACGATTTTTAAAATAACAAGTTCAATGAAACCACATATCTGACTATTTGCTTAAGTTTGATCTCTGCTGCACAGAAATTTGTAGACAAACCAATCTGACACTTCAGGATTTGCGAAAGTTATCCTTTTCCTTTTACTCTTCCCGAACGTCCCAAATGAACTTCTTTGTTTTCTAAATAATAGTAACAGTATTATTTATTACGATTATAATCTACCTGAGGTATCAGTTTTATTCAAATTATTTTCATTTATTCTTATTGAAAGCATTGGATACTAGACATTAATTCAAATTGAAATTTTTCTCTTTTCTGTAAGTAGAAAGGAAAAAAAAAATGGACTGAAGTTCTACACTTAAGAGACTAGCTGTATGTATCTTACAAAAATAAACATCACTGGTTCACTACTTGGCCCAATTTTCCAGAATCGTGTCCAGAGAGTCCGTCGCATCGAGCATCCAAACGAACGATAATATTGACATACAAAACGCCATAGCTGTCGCAGCACTGTCTTTCGCCATGCAATAAGCGATCTCTGTTATAATTGAGTAACGACTCATGCCCAACGTTCCGTTCAGCCAAAGTAACTGTAAGATAATTTAATTTATCCAATAACGTGCTTGTGAAGATTCATCAATTTTGTTAAAAGTTAAAAACTTAAGAATTCGTTTAGCTCTTTTACACTGACTCACCCATTTACTCGATTCCTGTGTTAAACAATAGATGACATGCATAAATGGCACCCAAATAGCGCGTGTTGCTAAATTTGTAGTCAAAGCCGCCACCAACATCTACTCAAACATATAATTAAAAGTACAATTATTGAATTATTCAAAAAGTACATAAAAATATTCGAAATGTTCCATCTTATCGGTAAACATACATGTCTTTAAAATAAAAAAAAAAATAGTTTCTAATATTTCCAAATTAGTCATTAAACATGCTTAACGTGGCGGCAGACTCGAATCAGACGCAATAAGACAATACAGTCGGTTTACAAGAATTAATCCTAAGTATAAAATCCTTCGAATTTTTAAGCGTTTAAGGTGTCGAATGATATTCTTACTTCGTAAATATAAAGAAGTTGGATTGGTGGCTCCTTGAGCGATCTAGGCCAGAGCTTGTACTCTGCGACAAGGCACAGCACGGAAAATGTGAAGATCACTGACGCGTATGACGGATCGAAAGGTGGAATGTTGTCTTCACTGAAGCATAGACCAATTATGCAAATTTGTCGAAGATGCGTGTACATGCCTGTCATCACTACTGCTACCCAATGTGGATTTATGGATCCCAGGTACTCTTTCACTGTTTCCATGTCCTATTAATAAACGTATTCAGTGAATAGAAGGAAACGTCTGTGCTGTGAATTACGGTTGTGCTGTAATGACGCCTTGGTTTTAAACATATGTTTATGCACATTTGGATTTCTTCAAACATTTTTATAACGACTGGAGTTACACAGGAATTTATTTTTTCTATTGAAAATTGTAAGAGTTTCGTGGTAAACTGGAAACTTCATTGAACCATGTTTAAAGATTTTAATATATTTTCTACACTGAAATATGCAGTAGATGAATGAAATCTGTAGTTTAGTTACAAAACACATTGTCGAAATTTTGTATACTTAATACTGATATATGTATATGACATCTTACATATGAATTAAGGACTATTATATTGTATTTAAATGTATATAATTTTTGTGTAATATAATATTTTCTTAGAGGGGATTTTATTTTACAGTTTACGAGTATGTTTATACATACTACTCGATTTTCATGAATTATTCTTAACATTTTTGTTGCACTTGAACATTGTATTAATGTTATAACTCAAGGATCTTAAACGTGTAGTATTTACTATAAATTCTGATGTTAAGAATGAACCAGAATATTTCATTACTATTCCAAATATTTAGGTTAATAAGGTTTTTCTGTTCTTCTTAACTTATTAATCGAGGAAACATATTTCGTTTCAATTCTATTCTCAGAAATTCATCGACAAAAATCTGCCTTTTTTTAAACATTTCCAATTCAATTCATATTAACAGGTTCCAGTTTCAAACATTTTACCAAACGCAACAATAATTACAATATCAAACACATAAAAATCACTCAACTATTATTACCAAAGTCTTCAATCAGGACGAAAGTCCTTAAGAAAATCTCTGTCTCTGTGTTGAATCTTCTTCTTAAATGTGGTTTCGAGTTGTACTCTCAATGGATAAAGTTAAAAAGAAGTTTTAAGAATCGGAGGAAACAATGCACAGGTTGTTTGATCAGGTCCAGAAATACAGCAATTCTTAAAATCGATTTCATATATTAAGTACATATGCGTACCATCGAATATTCCTTCGTGAAAAACAGAGGTGTATTTATAACAGGGAATTAACATCGGGGATGTTTTTCGAACCGTCTTCCTGCTTTTGGACGAAACGTCCTTTCAAAAATGAAGATCATTTACGACGGTTGTATGCAGCTGAAACTTAATTCCTTTCACTGGCTTCGAACGGGAATTAAACGATTAAGTAATAGTGGTTGTTGCATTTAAGGACATTGACTGTTAATTTAACATTCCTGAGTATTTCTTCTCTCATCGGCTAGTTAGGTTATCACTGTGACATTTGTTACGCGGCGACAACACGATGCAACGCCTCCTCGAATGCGTTTACTTAGCAGTAAGTTTGATGTCGATGTTAATTTCACGTCTTAGGATGAGATTGCATGAAAATTTTAACAAGAAAACCTGTTACGTTCGGAACATAATGCTATTTTCTACAAATTGATAAAAAATTTTCTATAAATAAATAGATTGCAGAATTATATGCAGATTTTCATTTTTCATGTTTTACAAATAAATATTTATATAAAATTAATCATAGAATTAATTTTACAAGCCTCGATAAGTATACAGGTAAAAGAATTGTTGCATTTTCATTCTATGTAGATTGCAGTGTTAGTTAAAAGCTCATTAAGCTTGAAGTGATTACACAGTGGTTTATTGGAAATCAATCAATCCACTGATTCGTTTGATTCTCGTCGTACGATACAAAAGTGTGTACTTCCGAGTACAGTTTACACTTCAGATTAATGGAACTTCCTTGTGCTCGAATTTCCGCCCAACTCGTGGTCAATTCCACGTCACATTAATCCGTCTTCCTGCTTTCTATTGCTTTTACGACATTAATCGTACCCTGAAGTATAAAACAACTGAGTGAAAATACAGTATAATAAAACAGGCTAACTAGATATAGTAAAATATTAGAATTAATATTTAGTTTCCACGATACAGTTAGAGGCACTGAAGAAAAATATGCCCATACATATATGATACAACTTAATAATTATTTTTTGTCATTTTAAATTTAATGATATCGTTTTTCTACATTTCAATAAATTAGTGGTTTTGCTAGAAAAAGTAATGTAAAAATTTATACTTATTCTTGCACCCACACTATTTCTACTTACAAATACAAATTGTTAATACTTTGTGATTTTATGGTACATTTTGTTGCGGAACCTTTTTGGAACTATTCACTTTTACTGAAACCTAAAGCAACTCGAGGTAAAGACTCGTGAGTATTGCCCTCTGTCATGGTAACGCTTAAAGGGGCCTCATTTTCTGAAACGGAGCCATTTTACTTCAATATCACGTACTCATACATAATGCATTACATTTGCCGATAGCTTTTCCGCTTGCCAGAGAAGAAACGAATGGCCAGGAATAATCCGCTGCTTCATCCACGTCGAGTTTCCCCTGATTTTAACCGTTAATCACATTAACATGATTTTGTCTGAGAATACTACACCACTTATAAGCAGACTATTCCGTGGACACTCGATGAATAGTCAGTAACAATTTAATCTATTCTCAACGTATCAAATAACTATTAAAAATAAACTTCCCATTCCTCATTAGAACTTTCAATTTTCCCTTTCTTGTCGAATAAATTTGTTTACTTTCCTTTATTATTTGTTCGATATAGTAAACCAACTTTCAATTCAACTTTGATTTTGACGTTCTAAAAAATGTTGTTGCCTTTCTCTTCTTCATTAAAAGTATGCAAAATTAATGGTCGTAAAGTTATATTGTGGTTTTATGGTATTTTACTGCGGGAGAATTACATTTTTTTCAGGAAAATGGTAAATTGTTATGGAGAATGATAAAGACACTTATAATATTTCTGCATTTATCGATGCAATAATATTGTAGATACAATATTATTATTATATCCGATTATTCGTATAACTCGTTACGAGTCTCTTCTTATATTCCGTATATTTCTTTTACGGTAAGTATAAGAAATAATGGTACGTAACAATTCAGTGGGTTAATGCGCAAGAATGATCAAAGCTTTGGAGAAGGGTCGAAATCTAACTGCTCGAAGTCTGTGGAATCTTGTAGGATAGAATAGATGAACAACTTTGGTCAAAGGGAACGTCGGACCATGGGACACCAGGAAATTGTCCTCCTACGTTCGAATCCTTCCATCTGCTAATGACATTTTCACTATGGTTCAAGACCCATGTTAAGTAATCTGAAGGTTAAATGGAAATTGAAATGATTTTGACAGAAATTATGATACAATAAGCCGATTTATGTAAGTAAAAACAAGTACATAAAATGATTGTTTTATTTGTAAATTATTAAACACGACAATTGTGTTTTTATTATACGTATAATATTACATGTAGGTATTTTCAGTACGTGATGGAGAAACAGATCGATCTTTAAAATAATATATCCTCTTTCCTTCATATTTAATAAAAAATACTAGGAATTTCTCTCTAAAATGAAAAGAAGCATTCTTAGATTGTGAATTATTCTATGTTCTATAGCACATAGGTATGTACAGAACACGTTAAAGAAATTCAAGAATATCTACCTATTTGTAATAAAATAAAACCATTAAGAAGAAACATAGGCTTCTATTATATTGAGCTCCGGATTCTACAAATTAAATTAAAAATGTGATTCTCCATAAACATCCATAGTCGAAATAATATTCAATTTCAATCTCACAGCAAGATAAAAATGACATATTATTTCTCAGGGAAATTTCAATTATTTTTGTGTCCTTCGTATAGTTTTTTTCTGATCTGAGTGATACTGATACTATTCGTTATAAACAAATTCTATCTTGCCAGCAGCCCGACAACAAACTTTTATAAATGACACATAAATGGAAATATAACAGAACCTTTCCTCAGACCCAACACTACAAACGCAGAAAAATTTCGGTTCCACGTTCGCGCGTTACATTTTCACCGAAATCGACAAAAATAGTCAATCGTTTCGGGAACTACCATACCGACCGTAAGTGTCTGATGAGGGTAAATTCTAGACGGAAGAACGCTTTCACGGGGATGAGATATAAAATGGCCTGATATAACGGAGGACATGTCCTCAGAGGCAGAAGATTATCTAACCCGATGGTAGCCATGACGACGGCACAGTGTATCGAGGAGCAGTAAGTACATTCGTTTCTTGGCTTTTCGACGACTGAATGAGAGAGGCGTATCGAAGAGGGAAACGAAAGCACGGTGGGAATCTGAACCGAGTAAAAGTTGAAAATGAAGAAGAAAGAAAAGAGACGAGAAATCCACGGCTGTTCTCCTCCGAACGAAAGCCACTTTATCCTCCTTTCTGTTTCAACCATCTAAGAGACCTCGTTTTTTCGAGAGAGAGAGAGAGAGAAAGAGAGAGACCATTTCTTCGGCACATTTATTCTACCACTTGTCGGATCACGGCTCCATAGTCTTTTATTCTCCAAGACGAATTAATTTTCAATCTTCGATGAAATAAATTTCAATCTTCAATTTTGCGACGAACTACACGTGGTCTAATTGTGATTAGAATTTTTATCAATAGACGCGAAGATATTCATCTTGATATTAAATTTGTTTTTAATGAGGTGGAATCAACGAGATTTTTAGAGGTTTCATTTTTACGTATCGATTCTAAAAAAAAAAAACAAATTAGTGAGATAAATTGTTTTAACAACAATCTGCCTCTAAATAACAATAGATGTTTGACAAGGCACCATTTTCGCGTGGCCGACACAAGATCAGGTTGCTTCTATCTGTTTTGAATAAAAAGAAACATAAATGATTATTAATTTATACGAGTGATATGTTAGTTTAGATTAAAATGTGCGAGAAGGGTCAAGGAATCCCAATACGCAAATATGTCGTTACGTTTTTACCTCGCGTCGCCTTCACAGGAGCCCGCGGCTGCCCGCCTCTTGCCCGAGCGGGCTCGGTTGCCCATAACTGATTTACAGATCGAACGAAATAGATATTGTAGTGGAATTATTGAACTGAATACAGATGATAAGTTTTTATTCTCCATTTCCGATTACCTACCAGTACAAAGCTGCATTAATGAAACGATACATTATTGATAAGCTGTTACCTCGATGAAGCGTATTAGTAATACACTTTAGCAAACATTAATACAAGGTCTCTGCGTGAAAGTAGATCTGTATCGTTGTTGCACGACTAGGTACGCTCTTAATACCTCAGCAACATCTGTAATCAAGCATTAAAGCACATCATTAACAGACTAGATCAAATACATTAGAGAAATATTGCGTCGAATTTCTCGTATCGAAATGTTCTTTTTTATTTCGAAATGTACAATTCAACCCTTCATCCCGTTGACTGTAAAAAATTAAATCGACCGAAAAATAACGTGACTTTGCAAAATTCTGTTTTAATCTTGACAAGATGGCGACAGAAACAGGTTTAATACCAGAACTAGCCACGATGAACGTAATATCTATTTCTATTGTTTCGAGAAAACATCTTTTCGAAAATATGCGGATTTGTAAATTAATTAAGGTCATCATTTACCTACATATTACATCTCAGAAGTCTTCTACATATCGAAATATTAAAAAAGTGAAAATTTACAAAATTGCAACTGTCCGTTTGTACTTTGATGCCGTCGATTTATTACATTGGAATAGCCTCCTAGCACTTGGTAAATTTATTTCCAGTACTGAAATAAATGTTAAATCGAATATTAATTTGGCATAAATTTCAGTAATTCCTTACTCCAAGTGGTAGGAGACCCTTTACCTACGCCACTTTTTCTCCTAGTGGAAGCAGAGTTTGCTCGTGGGTGTACAATTAAAATTCAGAATACCTTTCCGATTTTTGGTTCACTAAAAATGACGTAGGATGTCGTGGGCGAATAATAAACATCGTCAAAGTAGCTTAAACGTTTGAGTTTTCTTTCAAGGAACCATTATAATTATATAAAAAAAAATAGTGGATTATTTATTGATACATATAATAGAATGAAACAGATCCACCGATAATGTCTCAGACTTTTATAAACAACCTGTATCGAAACGGTACGAAGAATCGTGCACCTTCATTTCGGTCTTTCCGTTCTTCGTTGAATGAGTCAGTGTCGTTTCACGGCGAGATTCCAGGTAGGAGATTTTTCCGTGATACCGTAGAAGGGGAACCACTGAAAGCAGAAGTGAACGAGACCCGATTCCGCTCGGAACGATTGACGCAGCTCACGGATTAACCAGCCCGGAACCACCGACGCGCTTGATTAAAGAGCGAACGTGACGTTATAGACGCTAAGCAGTAATTATTCCGACTCGTACGAGCAGTCTGCTCCGAAATTCAGTGGAATACTTGGAAGCCACAGGTTTCCTCTGACTGGGACAACTTGTTGATCGTTGACATTTCTCCCTTCAATGCACGTCGATTCAATTGGGAATTTTACGTAATCGAGAATCGAGGTTCTTCAACAATATGGAATAATTTCTGTTTTTCCAAAATTGTGGAATGTTTGGATTAAAATGTTTTTTTTCTACGTAAATTTTTGTCATTGAAAAATATTGAGTTAACCCTCATTCGTTCCTCGTTTTCCCAACTTTATTTGTCCCTCGGTGTCAATTTGACCCAGTGGTAAAAATTAATACAATGAAGCGATAAATAGTTATATTTGCAAATTGTTTAAAGTAAAAAATCACGAAGCCTCACCTAAATTTACCTACGCATGACAGAATAACGTCAATTGTTTGAGAGTTAAGAACAGTCTTAGTTCACAAGATACAGGTTTGAGCAACGAACCGAATACATAGTGACAAATATTGAATAATTTGAATTAGAAGATCATGCACGTAAAATATGAATGAATTAGAAGATAATGACGCATAAGGATGGATATTCTTACACTATTCAGTCTTTAAAAAGTTTGATCCTATATAAAGAAGAGTAAATAATAATTATTTTAGTCCAGGAAATACATAAAGAATTTTTTTTTAATATGTAATGTTTTTATTAAAATAAATATCAGTTCGTGCGAAAGGTTCAGTTATCTAACTTCAATATGCGAAGAAAATACCCAGTACATATATAGTAGTGTACACGTACACAAAATATGGTGGCACTAGCAATAAGATTGTAAATTTCAACAATATCATACAATTTTCAAAATAACATAATTGATTAAATGATTCGTATCCAACTTATTTTGGCCAAGATAATGAGCAACACATTTTTGCAATAAGTGTCTATTTTCATTTATTTTTCTGGTACTAATAACTAGAAAGGTGTAAATGATAACGTGTTTAACACTAAAATTACCGACGATAAACGCATATTTGCTTCGATCGGTGGAGAAACGTGAAAAACTTTTGAAAATTTAGAAATTTAGAAATTGACTAATTTCTTCACTTTCATATCGTAATAAAAGTTGCAAAAGCTCTGAGACAATGTATTGTCATAACAGTCATAACATTTTAATCGTTGTTGTAAGAGTGTATTGACAAGTAATTTTGACTTGCTCGGTAGTTCTAGTGTTAATATTCGAGTGATGTAATAAACATTTCCAGTACTGTATTGCATTTCTGGTATACAGAATCTATAAAGTTACCATTTTAAAATTAAAATTCCACCTTTCAAAGCATAAAAGTTTTGTACCATTTCGCGTGACCTTGGTTATTTATCCACTGACCGAGGTGCAACTGTGTCTACGGCACTGCAATCGTCATAGTAGTGAAAGTCCCCGACTGGTTGTTCGAATAAATAAATTTTGTGAGCACGAATCAGACAATGTGGAAGGTTCGTCGTGAAACGTTTTTCAAGAAATAGCGAACCGACGACGGAACAGCCGACGACATTGAAAGCGTTAATTCGGTTCCATCGTCTGAATGGCACCTTGATTTCGAACTTGAAATCGAATTACAATTCACTTCGCCGTTTCCGTCTTTGATTCTGGAAACGACGTTCCGCTGTTAAAGCTTATTAAATAAGGTTCACGCCTCGGCGTGCTCGACACTTCGTTTACATTGAATTGATTCTCCGTGAAATGACACCGATAATCACAGTTAAATGCCCTATAAAGCGAGCCGGCGTCTAATTACTTTAGAATTTCACGTCAACGCTTCGTGGAAATTACGATTGACAAAGTGTAAGATTATTAGATACAATTAAAAGATGCTTTATTTAATACGATAGATTGTTAATCAACTACAAATTTTGTTATTAAAATATTACAAAAGTATACTTACATTTATTGAGACTTAAAAAAATAATAAGTATACTCTGTAATACTTTCTGCAAGATACGGATAACGATCAGATTATAATTTTATTATTTTTAACACGATGCAACGAGAACGTGTGTAAACCTCAATGGAACTAATCTCTACGATTGCAACAGTTTGAGGAAGTTGTTAAGAAGTAGTAAATTAAAAGAGTCCATTTCTTTAGTCTGTGAAAAGCAAAAAATAAAAATAGATAACAAGAATCAATTAGACATGAAATACAATGTTCGGATTCGAGTAAAAAAAGTTTGTAACATTCAAGATATTATGCAATCGCTAAAAATTTAATGACGAGTGTCATCAATAAACGACGGATATAATGTAATTCAAATTTCTATGGAACAATTTTCACGAATCGAAATGAAATAAAAACTTGTTACCTCAGTAAACTGTTTCATTTGGCAAGAAAGAATAAAATCTGCTTTAACGTTTGTTAATATTTCTATTTTATTGTGCTTCGTGTCTGAACACTGTTCGGGGAACTGATCGTCGAGATTGTTCCATAATTCGAAGCAATAGAACTCGACAAGAGGCACTTAATTGGATAGCCATCGAACTATGAAGGAAGTTTAATCTTCAAGCCTTAATTTATCAGTGATATAGTTAACTGAAACACTTCGGCTCCATACAAGTTGAAGCATAAAAAAATTCACTATCAAAAACTTCATAATTAGTTGGTTTAAACTTCAACGGTAAAAATGTCATTTATATGCTTCATAGAGAAAAGACTAATATAAAATAGAGAAATAATCTTATGGGCTGCATTATAAAATATGTATAATTAATTAAAAGTAAAAACTGTTGCATCTAAAAGACAAAAAAGTTAATTGTATTTAATACTATTTAGTTTAATTTACTCTTTCAGTAAATTTGTATTCACCTTTTCTTCATAGTCTTAATCAATTATCAACTATCATACGCATTGTATGACATAAATGCTGGTATTTTACATAAACAGACAAACTCTCAAACAGTTAGAAATTCAATCAATTACGTAGGTGTATGCGAAAGTAATAGCTATTGCATGAAATTCGATATTGCAGTTTTACTTCATTCTATCGACGTAGAATATAAGTTTTGCCACAAAAATTCTGTAAGCTTATAGAACATCCAACAATAACAAAACATCCAGCAATAAAAATGTTATAAAATATCCAACAATAACAAAACATCCATTAATAAAGAGCTTATAGAATATCCAATACCTTCAATATTAATAAAGACCTTCGACAGAAAGACGGCCATTCCTTTTGCATATACCCAATATAAAAAAAAAAAGGAAATCACAGGAATCATTGATCGTTGTCGCCACTGTCCACCATCCAATCCCCTCAATTGCCTCCGAAATTTCACTAAAACCGTAATGCGGCTTATCGATATCCGACTTCGCAGTCGAGATCAATCGATTCAGAGAGGAGGCGAACGGATCTACCTGCGCAGGTCGTAATCACGCACGGTCGAAAGGGTCCATTCGGAGGAGCCGACAAGTGCCGAGCTGCAGGTCAGAGGGTGGGGTGGTACATAAAGCAACGCGGCGTAGACACGAGACTGCGAATATCACGTTGACACTCGCGGAACGTGGATCGTTCGAGCACGATCGCGGGATTTCCCTTGAAGCACAGCATCCCGCCAGCCGGATCCACGTGGATACCAACTGTCAACCAAGCAACACCGTTCACCTTACGAGTGCTCGAGAACCCCGTATGTACATTGTGTCCTCGATACAGTCGTTTACATGAGTCATTGGAAAAATTCTCGGTGTGTAAAGACAACTTCCAGTGGCAAAAAGAAGTATTCAGACATTGGTGACATTTATTGTCGATTATTAAGACTGTTTTCAGTGTATGATTAATAGACTGCGGGTTTTATGCATTTATGGAATATCCGGTCGTCTGAAAGTCAGTATATAGGAAAAAGTTTCAGAAAGTTTATTCGGGTTTTCTTTTTATTTCGAATTTACTGGAATCCGTAATGGGGTAAATAATGTTTCCTTTTCGTCCAGTTTAAGAAATATTAAACTCTAATAATTCTATATTTCCATGAAAATTGACAGTTTAATTAGTAAAATCATAACTTTATCTGGCAGACTATGACATAGACAAAGAATTATATTATTATGGAATAACTGGGAAAAACGATTTTTAACTTAGTAGTGTACTGAAAACAATATTGTCAAATGATAATTAGACTCATTGGTGTACGAATACTGCACCAATGTGCCAACTGCCATGGCGGTAACCGATTATCAGTGTTATTAAATTACACGAAGAAGCATCGAATTTTTAAACAGGAATGTTTAATATTTAAAACTCAAGTTAAAAATAAAGGTTTCTAGAAAGTTTAATACTGCTTATGCAGTATTATTAATCTAGTAAAGCACCTTGATGAAAAGGTCTGTCCAATTCGATTTTTTATGAATTAGTATCTAACATTGTGAATTTGCATGAATTTTCGCAGTTCAGTAATAACAAACCAGAAACGTGAATAATTCGCGTAATGCGTTGTTACTACATCATCATAGAAGTAAAAGGGCGTATCGAATTAGACATGTCAGTATGGGTTTAAACAGACATAGTGTTTGCATTTTTCTATGTTTACGACTTAACACTTCCAAGGAGAAGAGATTCCTTTCATTTTCGCAACGACGCGCTTAATTAAACAGTTCAATTGGTTATCGTCGACTTTAGGTACTCAATTACTCATTTTTTTTTAGAGTTTCAATAGCATGAGCTGTTCGTTTAATTTTGTAAAGAATTAAAGTATACTGTGTTCGATGTTGAGTATACAATCAGCTCAAAATTTGTACACTTTATAATCATAGGTTATTTAATTTTAAATAAATTAAATGGTGCAAAGAATTAATTAAATTAATATTCACACATTGTGTGCAAAAATAATAACTGGTCAATAGTTCTATACATATACGTTGTTCTCTAATTAATTTTTTACATCTCTGCCATAGATTTAATGTTACAAATTTATTTTATACGTGCATGGCATCAATGAACTGAGTATACTCGGAGATTTCAAGATCATTAACAGACAATTATTAAAATATTTACGTAATAATTTTTATAAACAGTTTTATTTGTGTAGAATAAGTAAAAATGAAGCACCGAATACCAAAATAGCGTAAAAAAGGCATGAGCACTTTTATTCTTAAAAATAGTGATATGGGAAAAAAATTCTATAACAATTCAGACTTGCTACAAAGTAATTTAAAATCACGAAAATTTCTCTAATCAATTTTGAATGGTTCCTATATTATTTAACATTCGAAAATATAAAAATCGTATGCATTCAAATCTATTATATGAACAGTAATTATAATGTACTTAATACAAAGGTTTGGTACAACCCCAAACATTCGATCACTGTGTCAACAAATTTTTGCAATAACAACTGCAAAGGCAAATACAACAGTCACCAGTTGCATTTTCCTGCAATTCTCGTTAACAACAGTCATATACAGCTCACAACTGTTATTACATCGCAGAAGAAATACTCGTTACAAAGTATGCTAGCTATAAACTTTTTCCTCATTTAATTATAATTATCAACGAGTAGTTAGACGTTTGGGACGAAAATGTGCGGAAGCATCCAAATTAAAATTTGTAGAAACTGATTTGTGGCTTGGAAAATACTATCGAGGTACTGTAAATGTTGGTTCTATAGAAATCTCACACGATGTGATCATTAATAACCTCGAGATAAACGACATTGCGTGATAAGCAGCCGTATTGCAAAATCTCAGAACACGATCAGGGATACAATTTTCTACGGTTATGAATGAACACTTCCAAGTACAAGAGATTCCTTTCAATTTTTGTGACGTCGCGTCGCGGTTAATCACTTATCTTTTGTTAAGAGATTCAGTAATATGACCTACTTATTACAACTTATAATAAATTAGAACATAATATGTTAGATTTAACCGTTTAATAAACTTAAAATTTGTATTAATTAAAAATTCAATTTTATTAAAATATTACGTGTAAATATAAGTGGGATATATTTTGTACTTCTTTTTAAATAGTACATATGATTAATTAAATAAATATTGCAGAACATTAACAAATCAATTTATTTGCATATACATGAACATATATGTAGTTTTCAATTTTAAATGCATAAAGTTAAATACATTTCAGATCTATAATTAAAGAAATTTTAAATTTAGTCATTTTTAGGGCGATTAGTTTAATATGCAATTCGGTGATTTCAAGTTTCGTTGATTAGTGATTTTTAGAAAGGCAGCACAAGCGAAGTAAATTCGGAGTAATTAAAAATTGAAAGGTGGAGGAATTGAGTAATTCTCGTTGGGCAACTTGTGAAAAGAAGCAAGAACTTGCTTTCTGTATAAGAACATAATAACTGCGACCTTGCTCGATCGTAGCACGAATTAAAGGAACGATAACCGGTCATGGTCGAACTAGACCAAATATTGCAAACACATTATGTAATGTCTCGAATTGTTAAAAAAAAGGTTCAATTCGTACGTTTCTTGTTCGTGTCAAAGAAAAAATTGCGTAAAATGTTCTAATAAACAACATACCTAATATTAAATATTTTACATTACATTAAATGATCTATTGAATATTATCAATGTTTAATATTGTACAGGTACAACAAAACCATCGTAGTCAAGCTTTGCGTAAGATTTTCCACGTAAAAGTTTCTATTTAATCGTCTGTATCCTTCTCGAAAGGAGGATAGTTACCTCGCATTGACGCCATTCCGTATTTCCCCGAAGACGTCATTTGTTAAGATAAAAATAAATTACGTACATGGGAAAGTATTACACATTCACTACTGCATCGTGAGATCAATGGCCTCCGGTGGTTAATGTACCCAACCAGGTGATTCTGTCGTTGCGTTTCTGCTTCTGAGAATCTACTGACGTCAGAGTCGAGATCAGGGGAATCCCCAAGGGGTTCCCTGCTTCCACTGACGCTCTATATGAATCTTAAGGATCTATTATAAATCCTTGATCGTTTCTTATCATAAATTAAACGTGACTTTAATTATTATATTTTATATTAAAAGAGTTAAATAAATTTCTATACAGTTTTCTTTTTATTTAGGGCCTGATACAGTAAACAAGTCTCTATTGGTGTCTAGTTTCTGCTCATGTATCCATAAAAATCGAAGTTTGCATAAATGTCGGCAGTCTATTAATTATACCAACTTTGAATTGCGTGGATGTATTAATTTTTTTATTAGTAGTTATAGTAATGTACTTGTTTATATTCTTATCTTTTTCACGTTTACAAGGTCACTCATGTTAGCGGTAATAAAGATACTTAATTCCTTTTGTACATAATACATTTCTGTCTGTTACAAATTAAATTCGCACGTGTACGTAATCATATCGAAAATAAAGTGGCAACTGATTATGGCGATATTTTTTTATCTCCTCAAGTTGCAATTTCAAAATACTAATTTGTCTTCAGATTTGATTCGAAAAACATAATTACCACATTAACCGTAAATGTATACTAAAATAATTCACATTAAAAATAGAATTAATCGTTTATTAACAATAAATTAGCACTTAATATGATAATAACTCGAGCTCATATTTGCAGTTATCGTTGTTAATAATTTTTTGAAGATGGTTTATTTGTATAATAAAACTCTTTCCATCTAAATTACCTAATTGAAACTAACATTACTTACTTTTTTCAATTATATACCTCGCTAGTCAAAATCGGGAGTTATAGACATAAAGTATCAAACCAGGCTTCCAATTCATGACAAACCAATATACACTGTTCGTGTTCAGTTTTATATGTGTATGTCTTCACATACAGAAATAAGTCGAAAATCAAAAATAAAATTTGTTCGTATGATACTTCGTTTCCGAGATAATCGAATTCGAAGAATTATTTAACAATGTACATTCCATAAGTGTTAGGCCAGTTATTGAATATGAAGTAAACGTAATGAGGCATTAATAGTCCGTTGAAAGTCTTATATAAATACATAGTTTCAAAGATATTAACGCTGATATAAAACACTTACGTTAATGTTAAGTAATAAAAGTCCTCCAAAATATATGATTTTTATTTGAACATGGTGTAATACTTGTGAACGACAGCCTATTTGAGCCTATGTACATATTTATGCTGGCAATAAGTAGATACAGAATGTAAAGAATAGACGTGTTACCCAAGTCCAATTAAATTACATGTATAATCAGCAAATTTTCAAATTCGATTATCTCAGAAACAAAGCACCATACGAAAGAATTCTATTCTACATTTTCGACTCCATTTTTTATATAGAATAACTTCATGTCCGGTTATACCACTTATCCTGGCCTACATTGTATATAATAATATTACACATTTTTCATCTTCATTAATTCTAAATTAATTGTTTACACTTTGAACCACTAGTTTACATAGAATTACACTTATCCTTTTCGAGGCGATATACATATACATACATATAAATCGTAACAACCTAACGAAGTATTTAAAAGTTTTATCTGGCACAAATCTGACGACAAATCAGTTATGCGATCGAATTCCGTGCCGTTGTCGGAAAGCAACCTTGCCTCTGACAAATCGCCAATGGGAAAGGAGTCGGAACGAAACCAGCTTCACAAAAATGAGTCATGGTCGTTATTCCTTCGCGAGTCAACTTGTCGCCAGTTGCGACTAGAAACTGTAGACTGTAGATCATTACGTACGGATCAAATCTCTCCCTCTCTTACTCACGAACCAACAAAGAGACACGTGTCGGAGACTCCTACCACGATTCTCAAGACCCACATTGAGAAGGCTGGTCTTTGCCAATTATTGCAGCGCATTGTACATGTAGAACGTTGTCAGTGATATTCAAACGGTGTGGCTCGAGAGAGAATACGTGTCGATCGCAGAGATTCATCCGTGTTTTAGATCACTTCTTGGTGTGAGTTACTGTTAATACGAATTAGTATAGTGTTGTTAGGTCGTAATAAAAAGTTACTAAAGTGAACTTATTAAAAAGTAATAAGTAGACTGTGGATGTTTATAAACATTCAATTTTTTTAAGAACTATTTTTTTGATAGAGGAGGGAAATGAACATTTTATCATTTTATTAAGGATTACATTAGATTACATATCGTCGCGTTGGGTCTTAATTGTTTTATCTCCACTAATTTCTAAATTGAGAAAACTGAGTTCAAAGTTGATGAAGTTTAATATTATAGAAGCAGGAACGTAGTGAAATAATAATCATATACATTATAATATCATTCACTGAATAGCTATTTATTACAATATTTAATAAAATCTTTTTTTATTAACTACAGAAGTTTTTAATTATTGTTAGTTTTTGGAATTACAAGCACTAAGAAAGAAAAATATTCACCGTTTCGGAGTCAGGACTCAAAAGAATATTTATTTTCTAGGTTGAATTTTCTCTATAGTATGATGAATTTGTATTGTTTGGGACAATTTGACGCACGCAGATTGATTAACTAAATTTGTTTGAAAAATAGAGTTAGAACAGTCCAGAACTCGGGCGACTATATAATATAGTATGACATATAATTGTTTCTTATTAAAGGTTTTACTTTATCAAATTTTGTACATAGAACACACATATACATAAAATCCGCAGAATACTATTAAGAAATTTAAACTGAACATTGTTTGATAATAGTAACTACAATATGAAGATAATAGCTCTTTGAAATTACAATATAGCGACAATTTAATTCATTATTGTCCTTCTGGACATGAAAACTAAGATTAATACTAAAAACTATGTTTTAAATAAGAAAATTAATTACTATGGGATTCTAAACACTAAGATAACTAAATAAAAGATTTTATATGTGATATCTAACATATTCTTTTGTTAATACTGAATTATAATCAATCTTATTGTACATCTTTACATGATTGTTTCCTTTCTAATCGTACATTGAATGTAAATTCATGTTGGTAGTAAGTATACGTTTATCTGTAATCAGCGGAGTTGGAGTTATTTCGATCCGCGAAATATATTTCTTTCGGCGCCAGATAATTGCTTCTATGAGAAATCTACTGAATTGTACTATTCTTACACATTTATGAATACAATTTGAATTATATTTTCAGTTCGTTCAATCAAAAACGTTTTCATTAACATTATCGTTCATGGAAAAATACAACTTCAATTACTCTATGAAACATTTTCTATTAGATAAAATCAATTAATATACATATTTAAATATTTAATAAAACTGAATGCTATTCTGATTCCATAGTACCTTAGTTAAGATAATACTATTCAATTACACTTATTTAATTATAGTTTTATAGTAAGAATGGTTATATTTATCAGGAACTATAGACTCTTATTTTGTCCACATTTACTACGTAGATACTTAAATCAATCGTATCTACACTGTTACAACTTTCATAAAAATATTGATAATATACACGGAAATTTATTGCATCCTCGACGGAATCCCTAACAAACATCAAGCCACGTGCGTTGAACTGGGCGTTAAATTTTGATTCGCAAGGGTCATCAAATGCTTTGGAACAAACTAAATTAAATCAAACTAATCTTAATATTTTAATAAGACGCCTGAAATATCAACTATTATTTCAATTTCTGGCACACTTACAAATCTTATTACTGTTAAAATTTGTATTATCTATTTCTATTGAAATAAAAAATGTTTGTATCATGTTTTATCAGAAAAACTTTTCCATTCTGGGCAATTATTGATTACAATTAATTATACTTTATCGAGATTAGAGATAAGCGGCTAGATGTTGCGTTAATCATTTACATTAACTATCAGTGGCCTGTATTGCATAAGTATCCGCGGATATTGAATATTAATTCACAGAATGCTGCATTTTTGCAGATAACGCGAAATGGATCCCGACAGTTTCAAGGATTTCGCCAAGGAAATGGCGGAATACATTACTAATTATCTGGAGAATATCAGGGACAGGTGAATACTTTTGCTTTTTTATTCATGCATCCTGTTTATCGTCCTTCGCATTTTCCAGCACTACTCTATCGAAGTTTCCAATTAATCGGACGTATAAATCTCACTAATTCTATATAATTCTACAATAGAGTTGATCGAAAGAAGTTGAGAATACTACTTTTTAAATTAAAAGTTTCAATGAGAAAAACCTTTAAAATCCATTTAATTTAATTCAAATACTAAATTAGAAGAAAAGAAAGAAAATCGATTACATTTTTATTAGGCAGTCTAGAATACAGATTTTAGCAAATTTGTTATCAATTTATTATAAATATTGCAATTGTATCGTCGATTGAAAAATATCAGTTCCATCGAGTTCACAATAGTTTTGGATGAATAGAAACGTTAATAAAAAAATTTAATTCGTAGGAGAGTGTTACCAACAGTAGAGCCAGGTTACATGAAGCCTCTTTTGCCATCAGAAGCTCCGCAAACGGCAGAAAGCTGGAAAGATATTATGACAGACATCGAAAGGGTAATCATGCCGGGAGTAAGTATATAATTTTTATCGACTTTACTAAAAAGGAAAACATTTTATTACAAGCTACAAAAACTTTATTTTGACAAATACTAAAGTGAATTTTCTTCATGTCTTGTTTATATTTTGTTAATAATTTGTTTATACTTAATTCATTTTTTCTTATACTTATCAGAAAAACGGTTCGGTTGTGTAATCAATTTTTATTATAGTTATAAAATTTCTCTTCAGGTCACCCACTGGCACAGTCCCAAATTTCACGCGTACTTTCCCACGGCTCAATCGTATCCAGCAATTGTTGCTGACATGTTAAGCGGTGCTATTGCTTGCATTGGTTTCACATGGGTAAGAATCAGTGGCAAATATTAATTAAGTACATTCCATTTATCATAGTCATTGAAATAATACTCTACAAAATGATTCGTAAGTATCAGTGGAAAACATTTATTATGAACCATTCATAATATACTCATCCAAAACATTTAGTTTCTTCTTTCTTTTGGTAGTAAAATATACATGATTAATTATCATGTCATCTACGCAAGATTTATTCTTGTATATCACTACTTTAGAATCCTATTTCATCATTTTTCTGTTCAGATGGCGAGTCCTGCTTGCACCGAACTGGAAGTAGTGATGTTGGACTGGCTGGGGAAAATGTTAGATTTGCCCAAAGAATTTTTAGCCTGTAGCGGTGGCAAAGGAGGCGGTGTCATTCAGGTACTATTTATTTCATAGTAATAAACAATTCTTTTCGCACAAGCATTACTATGATAGAAAATATGTTGCTTACATACAAAGTTAGTTAATGCAATCACCACTATTATACACATATTGTTTATCATAGGGCATAATATTACTTACACATGACAAATTAGGTACAGTAGTGGTCCAACCTAGGCGATGGTCCAAATTCGACAACCTTCCCCTATATATACATTTTTGTAATAAATTCTCTTTAATCTGTATGCACATTGTTCACTTTTTTCCTGAAAGTGGTATATGCTAATGCATAACTGGTAATATCTGTACAATTTTTTTCATCCTAACAACTGTATAATTCTTATTCAACACTTTGTTACTCATTCTTTATGTCGACACAGCGGGAATACATGAAGAAGGACTTGCTTGATCATTTATAATAGGGATACATGACAGGAAAAAATATCATTTTACAGGGTACTGCGAGCGAAGCCACACTGGTTGCACTTCTCGGCGCCAAGGCTAGAAAAATAAGGCAAATCAAGGAACAGCATCCTGACTGGACCGACCACGAAATAGTGGAAAAACTAGTCGCTTATAGTTCCTGTAAGTAATCAGTTTCATTGACAAGTTTAACAATATAAATGAGAGTATTTAAATATTTAATACAAAATGTTCATATAATATTTATACAATATTTAATTTAAAATTCGACTGTTAATTGTTCATGTACTGTACCTTTGCGTTAAATAATATAGAATTTATCATAATCAAACTCTTAATAATTTGCATTTTAATAGACTGTCGCCTTTACTCTTTTTCTAAATAAATTATAATAAACACTCTCATTTATAATTGTAAAGCAAAAAAGCTCTATTCTTTTTAAATTAAAAAAAAATATATACATCCAGATAAAAATATTTGAATGATTAAGCAGTAATAACCACTTTACTGATTTCAACTAAATGAATACCTACTTCATATCCAAGTCAATTATCTATCGAATTACCCCCATTTTCTTAAAGTTTGACATAAAGGACACATATGCAGCCATCAATCAATTGGTGAATAAATATTTTTCGTCAAATCGATTATTGAAAAAGAACGATGAGGTGCTCCATCAAAATTCCCCAAAAACAAGATTAATAGTGACGTTGTCAGGCGCTATTCAAACGATTCCATTGTTTTAACCATTACCTACATTAATCAGACATTAACGACATTATTTTGTTTAAAAAATTATTGATGAATAACGGTGATGAAGAAATAAAGTCGAATAGAATTTCGAGCGCGTGCTTCGCCGTGATTCCCCATAAACAAGATTAACGATGACGTTGTCCGGCGCTCTTTAACATTTGACAAAGGTAAGCGAGCCGGGGGTGGTAGGGTGACAGGGTGAGTGTGGGGTTGCAGCACTTCATCAGCAAGCACTTTATCACCATGGCAACGCGTAATAACCACTCGAGTTATTCCAACCCGTCCACCCCCCACAATTCACCTCCCGTTCGTAGGTCCGAGCGCGCCAGTTGCCACTTCCGCTTGCCAACCACGTCGAATCGTAGAAAAGTTACGGACGCACAAAAGGGTTTCGTAATTTCCATCAGTAACCCACCATCTCTCGTCCATCGTTAGAATAAAAGAAAAGTAAAGAAGTCTGTCGTCTCTTGGGATCAAGACTCTCCTTCATCTAGAGTTCACATTTACGGATAATCATCCCTCATAAAACGATTGCTGGTTCCCCATTATTCTTTAGAAATCGAACGTTCAAGGGAGCTATTATCGAGCATTATAGATTCAGTAATTTTCTTTGGAGACTTTAGAATAATCGATTGATATTTGTACGGCTATTGTCTTTTTACTATTCATGTTGGAATAGAAGAAAAACTGGAATGATGTGGTAAGAATAATTTAGATTTGCTTTTATTGCATGGAAGGAAGGTAAAGGATTATACAGTTCATAAGATTTTTGTATATATTGAACGTTAACGTTTATCTAGAACAATTTTTGTATCTACAGTGCCATTCACTGAGGCAGATAAATAAAGAAATTATTTTTTTTTCTTTTTGTAGAAAATATTCTTAGCATAATTTTCCATTTTAATAAATGTTCGACAATTTGGTACCAGGAGACGAAAGAAAGAAGTTATACTTTAAATGGATATTACAGACAGAGAAATCAGTGTGTTACAGTAATTCGGATGAATAATAAAATAATATACTATTAAATGATATACTATTAAATAATATACTATTAAATAATAAATTTATGCTTAGTTAGTCACTTTTCGTTTATTTTAATATGTATTATTTTCTTCCAAATTAATTCTAATAAACAAGAAAATTAATTTTAATTTGTTTGTTACCCAGGTCAAGCACACAGTTCCGTAGAACGAGCCGGGCTTCTCGGAGGTGTGAAGTTCCGGTTGCTAGAAGTTGACTCGAAATACAAACTTCGTGGCGACACACTTGCGGAAGCCATTCGAAAAGACAAAGAACAAGGACTGATTCCATTTTATGTAAGTTTAATTGAGCAAACAGTATCAATATTTGAGAAAAAACAGAATTAACTAAAACTGTGGAGCCTTAATAAAAATACGTGGAGAACAAGAAACAGATTATTTTTCGTTTAAAGTCTATGCATCTTGCGTTGTGTTACTGCTGATTAATAAATACGTTGCATTATTAGGAAAAAATAATCATGTACGATAAATAATTGTAAAATTCTTTAACCACTATACTCACATAGTGAATATGATGCATAGTCAAAATACATGTACTAATTTGTTAAATAATAAATTATTTAGACGCTTAGTTTCCGTACTAATGATTTAAATTCGATTAAGCTATTATTTTAGTGTATTTCGTACAGTCGTACTTGCTTTAAATACATAAAGTATGCTATCTAAATTCCACGCAAAATTGGACACGTTTTGAAGTAACATTTGGGATTTCGTTGACACTATTTTACAACTACACGAGTTATAAGTTCATGAAATCCAGTCCACGTATATTCACAACATTACCTCAAGAGAACACAATAGAACATTTGTCATGTTACAGGCTGTCGCGACTTTGGGCACAACCTGTTCCTGCGCATTCGATCGTCTCGACGAAATGGGTGTCGTTGCGAACCGCGAAAACGTTTGGTTGCACGTCGATGCGGCTTACGCTGGTTCGTCAATCGAATTTCATTAATCTCCTATAAGATCTATTACAATTAACCATTCATCTTTAAATCATTCTTTTCCAGGATCTGCGTTTATTTGTCCCGAATTTCGACACTTAATGAAGGGCATCGAACTAGCGGATTCCTTCAACTTCAATCCACACAAATGGATGCTGGTTAACTTCGATTGTTCAACTATGTGGCTGAAGGATCCGACCCACGTTATAAACGCTTTCAACGTGGATCCGTTGTACCTGAAACATGATATGCAGGGATCTGCCCCTGACTACAGGGTAATTTTATCATAGACTTTCAATATTTTTTACTGTGTTCTTTATAAGGGAAAAATGCTACAGCGATTTTTCTTCGTTTAAAGGGCTCCCACAAACCAACGCGAAATATTTGCAACGGCAACGAATATTTCGAGGCGATAGATTCGCAACAGTTTAAAATGCATGGCGTCTTATGAGAAATTTCCGCAAAAATTTATCAATAAAAAATCTATCGTTGGTTTGTGGGAGCCTTAATAGTGAATCAATCAATGTCACGTGTTAATAAAAATGCAGTAGAACATGTTTATCACTTCGATAAATATTATAACGTATTCAATCTATAATTGAGTTTATTGATGTCGATGTATTTCTATTCGGAAAATATTCATGTTCTTTCAGCATTGGCAAATTCCACTGGGGCGTAGATTCCGAGCGTTGAAACTGTGGTTCGTTTTGAGGATCTACGGCGTGGAGAATCTTCAACGATATATCAGGAATCACGTCGCTCAAGCTCACGAATTCGAAGGTCTAGTCCTCTCGGATTCTCGCTTTGAGATTGTTGCCGATGTAATACTGGGTCTCGTTTGCTTCCGGTTAAAGGTAAATTATATTAATAATTGTGACATTAGGCTACAGATTAATCTGCATGTTAAATGTTGTTAGATATATACCACGCAAACCGACGAGCATACTCGGCTTCCACTAGGGGCAACAGTCACGTAGCGAAAGGGTCTCCCACCACTATGTATTGGGAATTATTGAAATTCATTGCAAATTAACATTTGATTTAATATTTATATCGGTAGTTGAAATAAATTTCTCAAGTGGCGGGAGGCCCTTTCCCTTCGCCACTTTTTCCCCTAGCGGAAGCCAAGTTTGTTATGTGCTTCCTGTAATTAATGTATCCAATTCGTGTGAATTTGTACAAAACTGGTGGTAACTTAGTTTTGATCTCGAAAGAAAATTTTGTAATATCCAATAGAAATCTCAATGAACAAAATCTCTTGGATAAAATTTGGCTTTGAGGTTTAGCTGACTGGGTCGGTCGTTTTAGTGTTAACATTTCTATTTCAATATATTTTGTGTATTCTAATACAACGTTGGGTTGAATTATCCACAGGGTACGAATGACATAAACGAGACTTTGTTGAAGAAGATCAATGGCGCCGGGAACATTCACCTGGTGCCATCAAAGATAAACGACATGTACTTCCTGCGGTTCGCGATTTGCTCGCGGTATAGCGAGAGCAAGGACATTCAAAGTTCTTGGCAGGAAATAAAGCGGAGAGCTAACGAGGTCCTCGATGAACAATCGGTTTCTAAGTGATGGCGGGCTCAGATAGCCCGCGGTTGCAGGTCCTTGGCCCCAGTGACCTGCAATCAATCCTAGCTTATAGTTTGTTCCGTGTTTTAGTGATTCCGGAGGAACGAGTGGGTGATTGAAAAGTGTTCTCACACTCCTGTCTAGTGTGTTTCGTAATTCGAAATTTGGCACAGTGATTCAATCACACGTGATCTCAGTTCACGCGTACGCTACTACCATTTTGTTTTCGAAAGCATTCATTACCGGTATTTTGTTTGGAAACCGTTTGCCGCAAACCACTTGATTTTAAACGTTCTAGTCAGTATAATGTATTTAACTTCTTAATTGAGCTTGAAAAAATATAAAAAGTGGTAATAAATAATATAAGTAAGATTGTAAAATGCACAAAAAAATAAGATATTATTTTAGGCTTCGTTTGGTTTTTTTATGTAAACTGCAAAATTACAATCGTTACAGGTATGTGACGGTGGTCTCTCATCCGAAATTGGGGTGAACGTATTAAAAACGAAGCAAAAATTAACAGATTTGCGCTTTTGATTTCTCATTCAATGTAGGACATTTTGTGGAAACTTATAACTTCAGGGTGGTAGCGTTTCTGGTCGTGTCAGAGTAATTCAAATATACTTGTGAAAAGCTGTAGCTTGTTCCTATAGAGAAACGTAATTTTTGTCACTATAATATTTTATACTTTACTAATTTCATTAATGTACTATTTAAATATAGCTGACACAATTTGATAATACAAGGATTCCTTAAGTAACGATGACAATCTGACTCTATGAGTGATAATCAATGGAAAAAAATAATTTCTTGGAACTATAAGTTATTTATTTATCTGCGGGAAAACACATTATAACACGAAGAAAATCATTATATAAAAAAGTAAAGGAAATAGTGGATTCTTAAGTGTCAGTAATAGGTACATATAATTAAAAATGAACAAGATTACAGTAACTAAAAAACAAAAACATGTTTTCGTAGGATAAAGAGCAATTCGCTTAAATGTGAGCTGGGTTGAATTCTAAAAGATTAATTTTACTAACGTCGCTTCCAATATAATGAAGTTGTAATAATATACTGGATGGTACTTACGATTAATGCAAATATGAAAAATGCAATCTGTAAAATGAAGAACGAATATCCCATTGAAAATTTCACCATTATCAAAAAAGTCCAGATATTATTCTTTGAAAAGTATTTTCAAGGTTTCCAAAATATGCATTGCAGTTAGCTTCGAAAGCCTGATATCAATATCAGATGGTACTTAATATTACAAACAAGACGTGAAAAATGAAGAAAAATTTGTTTAATCATTTTGGGAACATATTAGACAGGTCCCGTGAGCATAAAATGCCAAAGATCGTTCTTCGAATCCTGTTTCAAGCTGACGTACGCGTAGTTCATGTACACGCAGTATTATCTGCTGCCTTGTGCCACTTTACCAACACTTTAATCTTCCCCGTTAGATCGCTTTCTTCGAATACTTGGCGTGGCATAGCGACACCATGCACCTGTTGCAACTGTGTTGCATAATTATTGGTGTGAAACTGTAAACCAGAAGGTATTTGCGAAAATTCCTTCAATTTTGAACAATGAAACGTGAGTTAGATATACGTATGTGTCATAATCCCCTATTGTTCACGTTTCCAGTAATTCTGTTGGTTTAATGTAAATTTTGTAAATTAATTGCGAAAGATCGGAAGAGGTTAAATATACACGGTGTTACGCCATCGCTATGTTGTATTCATGTTGAACCCCTGTAGTACTAATGTAGATATCGCAGCTATAGAATGCATCTTGAAAAGCGGATTGTTCTAAATGTTATTGTTGAACTTTATCGTGTTTTAAGCAACGTATTCGATGGAATTTATGCATCGCTAACTTATAAGGAATTAGACATTGTTTGATATTTCTCGAAGAACGAAATTATCACATTCCTTTGACTGGAATAAGAAATACTCGTATTTGATGAAACAATCGTAGATCATTTCGATCACATTGAATGATCCGATTTAGTGGCGTATAAAAGAATTGAGTCTAAACATTATTCTATAAGTTGTAAAAGAAATTTCTTAGTGTACACAAAATGCATTAAATTTATCCATTATTATTGTTTGATCACAATGAATTTTTAATAATAGTGTGACCATAGTTGTACGTTAAGCTGTATTATAAAAAAGTATTTTGGCTCGATACTTCTGCACATCATTATATGTGTTTTCAAACTATCCTTCAGAATATTTTGTAAATAATTAGTTAGATAATATGATGATGAATTTTTATCAACAATTTTTTAATCATTCATGAAACTTGGAGATATTGTATGTGTATATTAGTATGTATTAATTTAGTAGCGGTGAATTTTGTAGGTAAAGGAATATTTACAGAGTGTTCTGAGGAAAAATATTCAAAGAATGTTCTATACGAATATAATAATGATGAAGATATTCTGTGGTTTACAAAGTAATGTCCCAGCATATATGCGAAAGCGAATACTGTATGAACTATTGGTAGATTAGTAAGTAGTTTAAACTGCAAACTGTGTTGTGTATATACGATGTTCTAACAAAGACAAAATATCGTATAATATAAATGTCTTTGTCTTTCCTTCGTAGAAATAATCCGTGTTCTCAAGTATTATAGTTATATACTTATCATAATCGTATTGGAAATTCAACATTTTAAATAATACATTGAAAATCAGAAAATGCATTCATTATGAAGAAACTGCGGATATTTGTGTAACTTCTTGCTTTTCCAAAGTAAAGAAAAAATTTAGAAACTTAGTAAATCTATCAAATATGAAACTGAATTACATTGCTAGAAACAGAAAATTTAATCAACCTTGTTGAAAGTTCTTGTCTGGCTTTCATACGATAGGTGCATAAGATCCGCAGTTTATTAATTATGAGTACTATACACTTTTATATATTCAATTTATTTAACACCCGAAACAAAATTTATTATTCTATTTTCTTAGAAATATTGAAATCTCCTTCTTAATCAACCAATATAATATGTAATTAATATAAACTAAAGTTTCTCTACAGTGATCTTATTTTTTAATCATCTATGAAATGAAAAAATTCTTAATTTATTTTACACAGATTTACTTCTTACTTTTAATTCTGATATTAAGTCTTACTGCCTTCTTTATTTAGTTTTAAATCGAAAATGTAAATAGAAATATTGATAATTATCGTTTTTCAGTAAAAATTTGTTTATAGCAAAGATTTATGTAAAGATATGAAATATTGTAACCATGTACTTTTTGTGAACTGTAAAGAATGCTTCAAATACTTGTGTAATAAGAACAATCACATGCTCGCCATAGTTCATACGAAAGATGTCACGAGAAAGATACTATTTTTTGCTAGTACAAAGGAATAGTACTGCTTGGAGTAAATTTATGGTATGTTTGATGTAAAAGTAGTGCTGCAACTGGGACAATAAATAGATCTAGAATTACTTTGCACGGTTTGGTCTATCGAACGAGTAAACGTTCTTAAAAATTCTGGATATATTAGGTGTTTCAATAAGTAATACACTATTTCTTTCAATTATCATATGATGTATTCTAAATTAAAAATAATTTCCTAACTATTCACCGACTAATAACGATGTGGGGTGTTTGAAGATCATTGTTAGTAAAAATGAAACATAAAAAATCCTTGATTTCCATAGAATACTGATTTCTTCAAGAAATAGTGGATTACTGACTGGCACACCTAAAAATAAATTATTAACTGCTTCATATGCACTCGTTATAATTCTGCACAATTTGTATTTGTAATACACCATCCAATCGTAATAACTCAGTACGAAATGTCGCAAAATTATAATGAAAATATTCGTCATATTCATAAAATTTTAAAACAAAATTACGAACAATTTTGATGCCAGGCGAAAGATATAAGGAAAATATTAGTTTAACAATAGTTTTAAGAAGGTGTCGAACTACAGTTGTATTTAATATAAAAAATAAGAACGTTTCCTCGGTGAAATAACACGGATTGCTGTTAAACGGGACCAACGGGAAGTAATAAACAGAAATGTAACCTGTGTGTACGTATGTACCTGTTATATCGATGTGCGAAATTTTATTTGAACATGTGATTTCGTTTGTTGCAAAAAGTTATACATTTCAATGAATAGATACATACCTGTGTGTATTATAGGATAAATAATTGTTGGACATGTCTGTCCAAGTGTCTTCGTTACTATATCAACGAGGATGAAATAAATTGTGTATTATGCACATTCAAGACCTTTAACTTTTGACTTCTATTACAATTATATTAGGTGTAATATTATATTAGGTGTATCAATAAGTAGTCGATAATTTTTTTGGCGAAACTCTGTATTCGTTTCGAACTTATTCAAACACGAATCCTATTGTAACAATATTCGTTATTTGTTTCCATTATTTTCCGCCATTTTGACTAAACAGAAGATTGGAAATATATTCTGAATCTAAAATTTAAAAGAATAATTCAGAACTATAGTGAGTTACTTAGTTATTCCTAATAAATAAAACACTAAAGCTCAAAAGTATCGTCAAAATTACACATTTTATTAAAATTGATGGCGCCCAAATAAGTAAAGTATATCAATAAGAAGACATGCTGAATTTGTAAATCAAAAAAGTGTAAATACATATCCAATAATTTAAGACAATCATCACTTTGCACTTTACAAGATACATGGTCATCAATCTTTTTGTTACAGTAAATTTTAATAACAAAAATTTCAGTTTTGTGCTGACATTGATACATTCATGGACAACCAGCGTGCTCTCGGACGAAAAACCCGACATATATACATTTTCGGTGTTTCTATTTTTTTAATACCTCCACCGAATTCTTCACTGACTCAGCTTTTATCGGACGGTTTTTTCGGTGGACCTCCAAATCGTTTCGTTAACTGGATTATTCTTTCAGCTTCACGAATACCGCTCAACCGCGCCCCATGAACTGTACTATAATGTCCTGGGATCGTGGCTTCCCCAGCAAACAACAGAATAGGTGGTATTGGTTCACACGTTCCTAAAGAAACATGCAAATAAAGAACTCTGTGAAGATAGAAAAAAAAGTAAAAAATCAAATGTAAAAAATCACCAAAGGTTTCTACTGAATTTTCACTTTGAAAAATATTTTGTATTATATGTATCGATTAAAATACGAGATTAAATACTTCAATCTCAGATCATCGCAAACGCAACCTGACGCGTTCCAGATGGCGCCAGCGAAGCCTGAGCGACCGGAAGTCTCATACAGTGGGTAAAAAAAATATTCTCACATCCTTTAAAATAGAAAAACTTTTTTAAACTTGAACCAAGTGACTTGAATTTTTTCGTGAAGTTAGAAAGATTCCTTACAGTTTCAGATAAAAAAGTTGTAAAAAGCGACCATTGCTATATTCTTCGCGATTCCGACCAATAACAATTTTTTCAAAATTTTTTCTGACTAATCTTTCTAACGCGAATACCTTTTCTATCCACTATATATGTATACAAATTTTTACTAGAATGGATATAACACGAAATCAAGGAATATAAATAAAAATAATTGACACCAACATTGATAAAGATATCAGGTGGATCCAAAGTACTTAATACATTCATTGAGAAAATTTGTTTCGTGAGTTAGAATTCCGTCTGGAATTTCCTTGATCACCAGCATTGCACCTGTTGAAATTGTTAACGTGGTTCTGGTCTCGTCGTAAGGGATAAGGAGTACCTGGCAAAGGACTAGCTAGATCACACTGATGGCCAACAGTACTATCCAGTCCCATGTAGCTATATGCACCGGCAAAGTATTGATCCATGCACCATTTGCTCCTGAGAAGATTAGCCGGATACGGGAGCGTGGGATCACCGGTGAATTGTCGGAGAACTCTTGTTATCGACTCCACGACCTCTTCGTCCGAGCACAATTCCATATCGGCCGCCTCGCGGCCGCAAATCCATGCACACAGAACGTGCTGCGAGGTCGACAATTCTTCGATATTAGAGATTCCTAATACGTAAAAAGGCTTCTGTGACGTGAATGTCAAATGGAAAGATCAGACGTTCTTCTGATCAAATATGTAACAAAAATTAATCAATACGTTCTATAGCATAATCCAAAATCTAATTTTTTTCTTCTAGGAAAGGGCAAAAGCCACTTTTTTTCTGCCTCCTCCCTCTGAGTACGTCCATGTTTTATAGTATTTAATTTTACTTACACTGCTGTTTATAAATATTGGGACACCCGGTCTATATGCAGGAATCATAATGCTTCATTAATAATATATATATTGTGAACCACATTTATTTTTTTATATTTAAATACACGTTGTCAATTGACTTTTAAGATCCCACAAAAAATATTTATTTCCCACTCAATAAGGAGTTACGAAATTATTATTTTAATTACTATTGCACTAATAAGGTATTATCACGTTATCTTCGATAAGTGTCCTAATATTTATGGACGGGAGTGTGTATGTGTTGCTCCTATGTATTAGTGAAGCATATGTTAACTAACGAAAGTAATTGATAGTGTACTGATGAAAGAAATTGATTGCATTTTTTCTTTGTTTTATATTATTCTGTTTCTCCGATCCTCTGTGAATTTCGATATTACTATTGTATACTAGTATTAGATTGTTCCGCAAATCTTCGCGTTTTTCGCACTTTCTAAAACGAATCAAACTTATATAATTAATGACCCTACTCTCGGACACGTAATCTTTAACTTTCTTCAATCTTTTCTCTAATGTTCTTGAAGTGAAAATACGAAGTTGACTTTCATATGACCTCTACGCGTCCACCTAACAAAAAACTATTCACATCAAATTATGTGCTTTTCGATACCATATAAGTTTGGTCTGACACATGTTTTTCTATCACCAGTAACAGACCAGATATTCAGGTGGCCCGTTTTCGGTGCTCCACCTTGTATTTTTCATTCTGAAGGTTGCAATGTGTACCCTACCATATTTTATAAATTTTGTTTGTTCCTACAGCATCATTACACCGGTATGATTGTTAAGGTCGCTGAATTTGTTTTTTTTTTCTTAATGCTCTGTAAGCATAGATAGATTAACTTACAATAACTATTTTACTTTTATTTAAAGAATGAGCATTTGTATTTTTTATATAAATTACGCCTTAAAGTGATCGTTTTAGACACGTTTCCCCTAATTGTAATCGGAATCGGAAGGAGAGAGTAAAAGATGGAAAGGCACACAGAATGTTGCCGGACAACGGCATATTGGTATACATGTTTCGGTGCGTCGTCGCTGTACTAAAAAAGAAAGTACACGAACCTTTCACCCAGTCACATCTATCGGCAAGTTCATCAGCCGACCAAGCCAGTTTGATGCCGCCTTCTTTCCAAACCCAGAACGGCCGCGCGTACTCCAGGAATATTTTGTTAACGTATCCGTATCCCAATTTACATATAGCTTCGACTTTCTCCGCGGGCAACGCCGGGCAGAAAAGCTTGTCGTGTTGATGCTTCAGAACGCCGAGGGGCACGGTCACGATAACGTAATCAGCTGGATATTCTTCGCCGTCGCAACACTTCACTACTGCTCGGGGACAAGAGTCACTTATGGCGCCCCACCTGACGCAGCTCACTGGCTTACAGTATCTGGTGTAATAAATAAACAGTGCATGTAATTCTTTAATCACACTGTTCAACAGCTAAAAATTTTTGCACTTTTTAAGAAGCGTTTCTGATAGACCTTTATGAGCTGAATACGAATTTTCAAACCGTTTCTTTCCAGCACGTCCAGTTTTTTAAATGAATTAAAGAATATCAGCACAAAGTGGTGTGTTTTCGGTGTCCTTTTCACTTTAAATGCTATTTAAATATATTTAGATGTCTATACAATAATAGTAATTTATATCATTTTGTTCGGAAGAACCCAGACAATTATTTCGTGTCAAAAGATATTGTATAACTATTACTGTAGAAGCACAATACAGTTCCAAAGTAGACAATTTGCAATGTTTTTAAAAATTGATTTTCTCAAAAACTGGACGTGCTGCAAAGAAACGGTTTGCAGATTCGTATTCAGTCCATAAAGGTCTATCAGAAACGCTTATTAGAGGTTACAAGAACGAAAAAAAATTCAAATTTGTTGAACAGTGTAATTGGACTTAGGATTTTGTGCATTGATGGATAACTGGATCCGATGAAATGGATAACTAGACTACGCATTTGTAGCAGTGACGAGCAACCTTTGCTTTTTGCACAGAGTCAAAATTGAATATCCAATAATCCCATCGGGCCACTGCAACTGCAATTTTATAAACGTAATTTATTAATTTAGAAATTATTGAGTTCCTTTATCTTTCGTTTCATTTTTGTCACTTTAGGTAATTAAAATGCATCGTACAAATAACTTCGGCGGGCCCTTGGTAAATAACTGTCGCGCAGAAGGTTGCACATCACTAGACTGTGGATCTTATGGAAAATAATATTTTATAGAACAATTTACGAAAACAGAATTTGTTCATTCTGAAACAACAATGTGTAATTCTTTTTTCTTTAGGGGGTTTATCGGGTTCAGAATGAAATAAAAAATATTTTGAACTTGATGAATTTCTCGTCTCCTATTGCATTTCACAGACTCTGTTTTGTTATAAATTTATAAAAGCTGCAGTCTACACATCACTGATTTATAGAATTATCTGACCGTGTAAAGTTCACTATAGTATAGATTTTGAGAAACCTACCAAGACCCACAACAAAGTACACAAATTTTCCTTTGCATGCAATTTCAAGAGATTTATCCATAAAACGGTATATTTGCAGAAATAACTACGGTCTATTGAGGGCTTACTAGAAACGTTTAAGGAATTTTAACTTTAACCAAACTGTGTTATGAACGTCCCCGATTGTACACGAATTTTTGATTCTTGTATCATGTATGTACTACTATTTGTGAAGAAACGGGACTTGCCCCCGTTACATAAATCAATAAGTAAATAAGGATATTTAGAATAACGTTCCTGAATGATCGAAATAATATTATGAAATCGCTCGTTCCCTAATTTGTCGATTTCGGACATTAATAGCGGCATTAATGAATCGAGATTTGATACATTCATTTGATCTGTTTGCTATGTTTATACACATCCGATGGGAATATATTTTAAATTTGACACTTTGGAATCAAAATTAGTATGTAGTTATGTAGTGATTGATTAATACATAATTGTATATTTTAATATTATATTGTATCAAGATCACTAACTTCTTTATTTAAATTGAATATTGCGATTTGTTGTGTATTGCAGTGTTGATCAGTCGCATCTATTAAATAAAAAAACAGCTGTTCTAAAATTTCTATGGATTTTTCAGCAAAAGTGAGAATTAATGACAAAAATATAAGCACACAGATCATGAGAATAGAGGAAGTAGTTTTTTGGTATTGAATGTTCATTACATTACGTAAAATATTACATTTGTTTAAATGTTTCAGATTTTGAATGATGTAAGTATGTCATTAATTTCTGTTGTATGTATATTTTAATGTATTTAAGACTGGTTAAAGCAGTCTATGTAATAATTACTTAAAGAATGTGTTTATAATATTAATATAATATAATATAATATAATTTTAAATATTATTAACTAACTTGAGGGAACAACTTGGTAAATCTCGTAACAGGGGGGCCAGAATTCCAACGTATCCAAGGGGCACCCTGATGTTACCGCCAGGAATCTCGATGTAACTCCCGAACTGATCGGCGGAAACGAGGGACAGATCGTCGCCGCATCGACACCTCACGCAATTCGTCATTCCGTACATCACCCTGGCTGCGTCGTATCTGAAAACGCAAAATCGGCAACGGTGTCGTAGGAAAACAATCCGCGATATCGTGTAATTAAAAACGCAGTGATGTAACGTGTCAGCTGTAGGATCTCATGTGTCATTCGACTGTCAAACATTTCTCCGTTTATATAACAAGTATAATGAAGAATTGAATTATAAGTACATTTATTTAATTTTCATTTCTGACTGATGTTTAGATTAATTTCTGTATTGGGAACAGATTCTGCTTTAAATATATACAGGGTGTAACAGAAGTGTTGTAGGTCCCTGAAATGGGTCACTGCTGAGGTGATTTGGAACGAGTTTGTCCTTAGCAAAAATGGTATCGAAGGCTTTGTTAAGGAAAAACTTGTTCCAAATCATCTTACAAGTGCCACATTTCAGAGACCTACAGAACTTTTCTTACACCCTGTACATATATACCATTTCGAATGTTTGCTTCGCCGTATGACAGGTGAACCCGGAATTACGATAAATCATTAACAGGTAATTTCATTTGAGGTGGATAGAATATCTTAGAAGGACTTATATAGAACCTCCGTTTTAACTGTTAACGAATTCATTACTTCAGGAAGTAAGGAGACGTCATTTCTATATTTTATAGTATGGAATAAAGTGTATCGATTCTAAAATTTAAATGTCTATCTTCATTTAAGTAGTACACAGTTCTGATGAAATTTTAAAGTAATTTTGTTCTTAAGACTCTCCAGTTATACAAACTAACGAATATAAAAATTTTATAATGAGTTACAGCAACCTTTTCTTAAATAATTTTAGACGATTGAAAGATGAACGTCTGATTATTGAACGTTGATACAAAAGTAATGGATAATAATTGGTGGCTAAATAGTGCTCAAGATTTTATAAGTATTGTATGTATTCTTAAAAAAACATGTACATCTTTATATCACATCTATAACCCTGATATTTTCAAAACCTTCATTATTTATTTAAATCACAAACATTCGTTGAACATTTAAATTACTAAACAGTACTCAATTTAGATTAAAAAAATATTTCATACGACCTTTAACACTACGTACGCGCTGCAATTAGTAGTCAACGTTACCGCGAGAACTCGGGTGGTAGACTGGCGCTCTGATTGGTCGGGGTTTTTCGTTAATATCTCGTTAACAAAGCCTCGGATAACATTTTTCTTAAGGAAAAACTCGTTTCAAATCACCTCACGAGTCTCCCATTTCCGGGTCCTCCAACATTTTTGTTACACCCGGTATAGACGGTAGTGGGAGTTTCAGCTGAGTTTCATAACTGCGTTCACATCACTGCTGATAAAGTTTGCAGTTGACCTGGGCAACTGTACCGTTGCTCCTCGGGGAAATTGTGGAGCTCCTGTTGTATTCGGACGCCCATGAAGTTCAGCAACGTACCGTGGGTGCGGCCACAGCCTAGGGAGAAAAGGGTTGCCGCCTGTTGCTCGATTTGTCGAAAGGTGTGATAAGCCGTGATGCTGACAGGAAGATCGATGGCTCGGCCGTCGCTCGTGCAGAAAAGACCCCGACTCGGATCAGGCCTGAAGACAGGCGGCTTCAGAAGACCCTCTTGAGCGGCTAGGGTGAAAACGGGATTCGCCACGCATCCACCCTCTATCCAAGTGGCTCCCATTTCCGCGACCACGTCGCCCAACCAACATGAATGAATTCGTCCTCCTGGTCTGCAAAAAGGGATTCATTGTCGACACTCCGTAATAATAATCGGTATGGACTACAATCTGTCTTCTTTTTAATATTAACCCTTAACCTGGTCAGGTGGGATTGTTATTACTAGACTGCGGATTTTTATGCAAAATGAAAGTTTCTAATGTAATTTATAAAGACATCAGCAATCATGGAAATATATTTTCCCTCTTAAGTATCCTATTGGGTTCAGAATAAAATAGAGACCTCGTTGGATCCGATGAAAGTTTAATTTTTTGTTGTATTTCACAGAGCTCTATAGGCTATAAATGCATAAAGTACGCAGTCTAGTTATTACTTATTACTAGACTGCGGATTTTTATGCAAAATAACATTTTCTAAAGTAATTTATAAAGACAGGCGCAAATGTAGAAATTTATTTTTCCCTTTAGGTATCTTATTGGGTTCATACTAAAATAAAAAAGTGTAATTAATAACGCTAAGATTAAAATTGATAGTTCTTATGGTTTATTTATTTACACGTATACTTTCACGAATAGTAACCCCCAGAATTCGGATATTCCAGTTGAATTTACATCTTCTACAAAATTTAAATTTAATTCCTATTGTTGCTGTATTTTATAATTCAAAAAGAAGGTCTAAAGCATACCTATCCGTTGCCTCTAAGATCGTAAAATTCTGAAGGCCGCATTGTACCAATCGATGTGCTGCTGAAAGTCCAGCCATCCCTCCACCTATGATCACCACTGTTGGCTCTGGCTTGCACGGATCCAGCATACAAGGATCTAGCTGACAGGACTCGAATTTGGCCAATTTCGTACATGGTGGAATCTCTTGTTTTTTTCCTCCGCCTCCACATTTTTCCGACGAGAGAAGTCTGTTCGAAACGAATAATACAAATTAATTTTATACAAATACTTTCTTTTGACAAATTTCGTATTAAACGTTCCCTTCATGTGTTAATCAAAATTGGTTCTTTCCCCGTAGGATAATCCACTACATTTAAAAGACACATCGATTAACTAATGAGAATCAATCAAAAAGGAAATTTTTATATTCACTGTATTCGTGTTCAAGGAAGCTATTTTGAATATTCCTTTTAATAAGAATTTTTTATTGTAGTTTTAAAATAGAAGAGTTTGTTAACCTGTAACATTTTCTTATCATTACACTGGGCAGGATAATTTTCTAAAACATGGTCCATTACTTTACAAACATTTTGTACAATCAAATTAATTCATTCATTCATATGAATAAAATTTCTAAATAATCTAAAAAATCTTCATTTATGACTCCAGTTTGTAGTTCTGTGTTTTATAATAGAAAAATGAATGACATAGACTTTGTCGTTTCACTTGCTCAGCAATGGTAACAGCATTTAACTGTATAGTTTCGAAGTAGAAATTAAAAGTCTGAAGAATTAACAAGGTTCACTTGCATTACTTAAATTTAATTAATATTCTAAACTAGTGAGAAGAAAAATTGATTCCCTTGTATCACGAATTATGACAGAGACAGTAGTCGATGGAGTCGTCAAACGTCAAAAATCCAACCTCTCAAACTTCAATCTAAAGTAATTTGTAACCGTACAGTGTTTTATAAACAGATTAGAAATGTCTTACAATATCCGCTTGCATCATACGTTAATAGAGCTCGTAATCAAAAGTTTAATGCTAACAATTTGAATGTCAGAACGTAATTTAAAGTATTTTTATCTACCTTACTAAAACTCTTTGGAACTTCTGAAGCGTTAGCTTCTGCCTCGTAAGTAGCATTTCATTGGACGTGAATTAGTGAATTTGTTCATGAAGATGATGATGCCTAATCCCGATAGAAATTTTGATGTTATTAGAAAGGGAATTTCCTTGTCGGCAAACGTTACAAGATGAGCATGTTACACGCGCAAACAAACGACCATTGCCGTCATGACGTTCGATTGTTGCTAAGATTAATTGTCACAGCCAACTGCGACAATTTCTGGAGTCATGGTCATTGAAACGTAATTAATAAGGTAATTTTTTTCTTTTTAACAATTTTATCAGATGCACGTCAACGACTACAAAGCCTACAGTTATGATCTCCAACTAAAATTATTTTTAGGATATTAGAATATTAATTTGTATTAACTTTTTGGAATAAATCAGTGTAAAGATTATTTCATATTACAACTAATTATAATTTATTGCTTAAATATTAATTGTGTATGGATTTATGAAATGAAATTTTCTTTTGAGAGTAATTCATTTATTTATTTTATAATAATATAATTTTATAATGTTATAATTACAATATTGGTACCATAATTTCAGCTTTTATATACTGTGTATTCCACATAATGTGTTATATTTAGAGAATATGAAATTCAAAATATTTTTTTGCATTAAAAATAAAATAGGAACACTAATAAATTTCATTTATCGTTTTATCTTTATTTAACATACCATTCTATACAATAAATTCATAAATACTAGTAACTTATGTTAAAGTATAATAATAATAATAATAATAATAATACGAATACAACATGTTTTAAGGAACACAGTTAATATCTATTTTAAATATTACTCTTACAAGAATATTTTCTTACAATATTACAGTGTATTTAAATTACATCACACAAAATTTTTTTCTTTCTGGTATGAGTTCTTGTAATGACTACCTTCGTCATACTAATCACCACAGTATCCCAAATTCAATTAATTACAGGCATTTGTCCGAGTTTCAAATTTTTTTATTACTTTGCCAATAATATCCTATAGGAGAACGCGTAAAAATGAAATAAATTGCTGATATGTATTAAATATATTGAAATCAACTATTTACAATACAATCCAAGTAATAAAACTTTAACCTTTGTTTTATTATCTCACTTTTGTCATTGCTATTATATTAAATTAAAAAGTTCTCACTAAACTGCGGACTGTATGCATTTATAAAATATCAAGTTGGTATGTAAAGTTCAATAAAGTAAAAAGATTAAATCGAAGCTAGTAAAATTTGAATACTATATTTAATATAACATATCTCTTAATGGTACAAAGAAATTTTTCTCTGATTTCGATTTTTGTGAAGTGGTCTATGGAAAAGAGAATTTACATAAATATCCACAGTTTAGTTACTATTATTTGAAGATTTTAAATAACATTATAATTGAAATTTGTATGGGAATATCGGAAAGCCTCAGAAATGACTATTCTTTAACCGACAGACACTAAATTCTACGATATCTTTTGTGTTTTCGCCTCGATATTCAAACTTTCTATTCTCGTTGCAATGTCGGCGGTAGATTTTGTGAAAGGCTCGAGTGATTCCTCTTGCAAGGCTGGTGTCTGGGATCTCAGTACTTCCGCCGCCTGTTTCGTAATCTCGTTCCACGCGAAAGTTATGTCTTCTTCCCGAGACAAACGGCTGCACACTACGAAACGGACGATCAATTTCTCGTGAAATTTCGCTGGTATGACATAAATTCTCTTCTCGGCTGTCAAACGACTTAGAAGTTCTTTAGTCAATTTATCGTCACCCTGAAATGAAAAAAATCGACCGGAATAAAAGATTTATCGACGTCTCGAAACTTCTCTTTACTATTTGTAAAATGAAACTGTTAAATATTTCATGTTAAATAAAAATTCAAGTAAACTTCACTGATTATTGGAAATTATGGAATTATAATTTCGTTGATTTAATTCATAGATATTAGTACAGTAGTAATATTAAATTAGTGGAAAAATACTATTACATAGAACAATGTATGTTTAAGACTACAAGTGAAAAATAAGAAATATAAAACAGAAGTTATATAAAAAAAGTATTTGAAAGTATTTGAATGATAAAGTATAAGAAAGTATTTGAATGGTAATTTTTGTGTACGTACCTTCATTCTGAAACAAATTAAACCCAGAGATCTCTCAATTACCAATTCAAATCGATTGTCGGATTTGACGTATTTTTCGAATATTTGCGCCAATTTCAATGATCGTCTTATGTGGTCTTGTAACCCTTCCACTCCATAAAGTCGCAGAACGAACCAAAGTTTCATGGAACGAAAACGGCGACCCAAGGGAATTTGCCAATTCTAATAAATCATTTTTACGAATATTAACTTCCATTTAAGATCTGATGATGGTTTTCTTATTTGTTATTTCCAAATGACCAACTTACTCTATAATCTGGAGCCAGCCCCTGTTTATCGTGCGCTAAATAAATTCTATCTATACTAAATGCTTCAATGAGACGCCTAGAATCTTTCACCCTGAAATTACGAGAATGTGTAATTTGGTGTCGTTCAACATAAACATAGTAGAACCTTCGTTAAATAAATTTTCATTCTGCGTATGCTCTACTAATGAAATATTTAAAATCAAATGATTCCTTGTAAAAAACTGATTAAAATACTTTTCGTACATACATAGTTAAAATTAATTAAACTCTCTTGCTATATTATGTAAAATAAAGAATGATTGAAGTTAAGAAAATAAGTTTCAAAATACTCGAAAATTGTTGTATTCGAAAGTTGATTAATAATCATTGATTTAAAATCGAAGTTAAATTTCTATTAATTCGAATAACAACGGTTCTACAATATTTTTGCTTTAAGATAAATGTATACACACCAGAGCGCAGAACAGTCGAAATTTACGAGCAACCATTTATGAGGATTGATATTGAAAGAATCAGCGTACTCAACACCGGCCATTAAATACCGATACTCAGGACAGACGAATGCGGCTCCTACAAAAACAGTATAATAATTCAAAGGATTATGTAGCTTCAATAATTATGAAATGAATTATTCGTGAAAATAAATGTTTGTGATTCGTAGAAACATAATTTTTTTGTTTAATATCCCTTGCACATTTTAAGAATATATATAATATTTAAAGATATACATATATCTTTAAAGCTCGATTGGAGGAAACAAAATTTCATTTGTATTAACAGTAAAATGATATCTTCATTTACAATTTTCAAATATTCTACACTTCCCATATATTTACTCGTGTAGACATTCTTGAAGAAATATTCTTTTTTATTTTTGTACGCCCTAAACTGAAATTTCATGCGAAGAGTTGCAAGTTTAAAAAAGACATATATAAATTTTGTTCAATACTGCAATCCTGATACGTTTATACATGTATATGAACCTACAATATTGGAAATGTAAGAATGTATGTCATCTAACAATGAAATTTGATATGAATACGGACACTTTAATAAACTAAGAAATTTACAAGTATTATTAACCTGCATAAGCGGCGTCTACGTGCATCCATATGTCGTTTTCATTACAAATGGGCCCCAATTCCTCAAGGTTGTCGAAGGCACACGTGCCGGTGGTACCCAAAGTGGCCACAGTGCAACACGGTATCAGACCTTTCTCCAGGTCCTCCTTGATCACATTCAGTAATGTTTCACCACGAAGAGAACATTTTTCGTCAGTTGGTAAAAGTTTCATAGGCACCGACGCTAACAGTCCCGCCTTCTCAACTGAAGAGTTTGATTGATCTATGAAATAGAATCGGAAAATAATTATTATTACATAAGTTATTCAACTATTTAGAAAACACACATGACACAAAATAAATTGAATTACGACTGTGTAAATATTTCTATTCATTACATTGATACTATACACAAATTTTAATCAAAACTTTGAATAAAAAATATTAATTTTTTCACTACATGTTATATGTGAATTAATTTCACTTAAATACAAGTGACTAATCAATCTTAAATAGAAAGTTTAAGGAATTATCTTCTTCAAGGTAAAATATCCTTTATTTTTGTTTTCTTAACATGAAATATGATTATAGATATATTTTAATGTTTATAATTGTTATTTATTATAATCGCCATTAAGGAAATAAATTTTAAATTAATATAAAAATTAATTAAAAGTAAAGATGAAATCTTCAAATACAATATAATTCGAGGGTTTAAAGAGGGTCAAATGACTGTCAAAATCTTGATAGAAGATTTACATAAATAAAATATTTACCAGATGTGTAAGCAATTAATTTGGTTTTGATGAAGGTTTCATCCCACTCTGGATGAAGACGTTTTATGCGACGGGTCGTTTGTTCCTTCGCAGCTAAAAGACACACTAAAGTAGCTTCACTTGCTGATCCCTAAATGAACAAAATAGGAATAATAATCAATACTGTGTAATAATGTTTAGAATTGGTGAATACGTCATATTTATATAAAGTCACAAATGTATTCTTTAACTTATGAATCTGGGATTGAATAAAAATTGTTTTCTTTATTTATGATATTATCAGGTTCAAAACAAAATCTGTAGTGATTTTTAATAAACTTTTTACTGTTTTGTGTTGTATACATTCATGTTTATTTGAAAAACATAAAATTCGTAGTCCAGCTAAGACTAGTTGAACCTTTTTACTAATAGAAATATTCTAATTTCTTTCAAATAAAGTTATGCGTAGACATCGAAAATATTAAATTCTGTATTATTAGATAAGCAAATATTAAGAAGTAAATAACTACACATTATCATTAAAACACATGTAGGAAATAAATTTATATTTATGTTTAGAGAATGCATAATTAAAAAATCGAAAATAGATAATACTAAATTTACTACTAACTTTTCCGAAAATTGCTGCATTTCTAGTAGAACGATTTTATAACACGTATAACTTATGAACCAACGTTTTAAAACGAGTAATTGCAATATATAGAATGATTATTCAATGATAAATCTACAAAATATTATAAATTAATAAATGTAAAGTGAAATTATCAAAAATCAAATTATCAAACATTTTGAATAAATGTTCGTACGATATAGCCAATGGTCATTCCTAAATATGAAAGCAATACTTATAAAGGCTCGTTGGTCTAGGGGTATGATTCTCGCTTAGGGTGCGAGAGGTCCCGGGTTCAAATCCCGGACGAGCCCAATTTTTTTTCTTTTTAAAATCACACAAAATATTATCTTTACTGTACTAGATATTAACTAATAGATAATTGTGGACAAAAATTTTAATAAATTGCAATATTTTAAAGGAATATTATTAACATCCTGCACTGTACATGTAAGTGTTGTCATAGCTTACGCTTATTACATCAAAAGTAAATAAATATAACATAGAAACAAGAATAAAATCATTTCTTTTTAATTCATAATTCAGTCCCTAAGCCAAATACTCTGATTCATATTGGTAATTGAGAAATAAAATAAAATTTACAGAATAACTGTGACAATGAAAAATGAATGAATTGTTAGTTACAGTAAAAATGTGCAAATTAAAGTGAGAAATTAATATTGTCAAATATGAGATACAGTTTTTAATTGAAAGATTTGAATCTGATAGAAGACTTTTACAGTTGTACTATGTGTTTTTTAATATCTTTCGAATAATTCTAAATATCAATTTTCTTCATTTCTAATTTGTAGTTCGATTTCACATAATTAATAATTATCGATTTCACAGTTTGTATTAAACTGTAAGGTAGTCAACACCTCATATTCGTTTACTTAAATGTGCACAAATGATGGAATGAAGATATTATACAATGTCCAATGGTTTCATTTTATAATAAATTTATTTATTTTATAATATATTTAATTATTTTATAATTAAAATAACAAGACACTCAATAAAGCGAATAAATGTGTATTTATTTTACATTTTCGCAAATCAGTGTATAAAAGTATAAACTTGCATAAACACCTGTTGTTTAAATGATCATCTACCTGTATAACGCCTCCACCAGGACCGTCGTTGCAGTTCAGAAACTCGTTCGGTAATCCTATTAATTTCCCGAGCCAGTTCATCATAATCACTTCAAGCTCGGTGCACGCGGGCGAGGCAAGCCACGAAAATCCGATACAACCGATACCGCAGCTTAAAATTTCACCGACAATCGCGGGAAAGGAGTTTGCAGTTGGATAGAACGCGTGGAAATGCGGTGAATTCCAATGTGTTACCTAAAAATACGACACACGTAGCCAAATATAAATAAAATATACAATTAAGCATTTCAGTGAAATGAAGTAAGTTATTGAACCATCGATCATTATTTAGCAAAGAACAAAAATGGAAGGTTTATTTAGTGAAGAAATAGGCTGTGAATGAATGAGAACGTTTCATATTATGTATTGTATTAGTTATTAATCATGCTGTTATTTCTTTTTTAATCTGTTTATTGAACCATACTGTTCGTCTCGGGTTATGTAATATAACACGAAATGAAGATTATGTTTCAATAGATAGTATGTTTTTAAATATTTGTTTTTGGTATTTAAACAATTATTTCAACGTTTGAAATATATTTATTCGTAGGGATATAAATCTGTGAAGTAAATAAGGAGAACAGCAGGGTTAGTATAATAATGTAATATATTCAATAAATATTAATATAATGAATACGATAAATGTAATGTATCATATTTTAATATTATATGTTTAATATGGTTACTTACCCCCGGTATGATGTATCTCTCGACATCGTTAAGTACCTCCTGCCACGTTTCCGGTTTTTGAGGTGCTTCTTCTGGCAACAAGTCACTGAGATAACCAGGCTCGACATCCGGAAGAACATTCCTCTCTCTCAAGCTGTCCGTATAGTTTGCTACGAAATCGATGGCTGCCTTGCCGAAGTCAATGAATTCCTTTGTGTCCATCGTAAACCGAAATTTCTTCGAAAACAAATCCTTTGATTAATCCTATTTAATAGGGACAAATAAACGTTGTTACAGTAGAAGAATGTTATCGAAAGTTAATATCGTAATTATTACACAATATAACATCGAATGTTACACAACGGAGATAACTTGTATAACGTTTAGACTCCGAGACTATTTTACATTTTTCACAATTTCTTTTAAAGTATCTTCTGGTATACTTTCAAAATTTCTACCGATGTATTTTTTTCTACTCGTACATTTTCAAAATATCTACCCTATTTAAGTGCAAACATTTAACTTTAATATTTCAAAGAATTTAAACTTTATGCATGATTTTAAAACAAGCCTATCATATCGGATGCATTAGAATATTCACAGAATCATGATTATTATATTCCATATTTTAACAAATGTTTATTTACGAATTGAACAGAGACATGTATTACGTAATACGATATGAACGTCATACAGTGATATCAATAATATTGATAACATGATTCACTTAATTGGAAACAGTATCGTAGTCAAACGATAATGAATACATTAATAAATCCTTCTTTGTGTCACTGACTTCGTCAATAATAACAATAATGTAACATTATTCATTTGGTTGTTCTTTAACATATTCTTTCCTTTCAAATGAAATTAACACTAGCATTTTAAAACATCACCATTGCACACGTTCATTGTTGAATGTTACACGGGTATCATATTTGTAAAGATTCATTAAAATTTCAAGGGCGTTCAATTAAAATAACCATGAAATACCGGTTTCCGGTAAAGAATTCAAGCAAAAAGTACATAATTAAAACTCGAATTACAAATCGAATTGAAAGATCTTATAAATATACCGTTATGCATGAAAAATTTCAGCGGCGAAAAAACGTAAAATTTTGAGGATGAAGTAATTTTCGATATTGCTGAACGGATACACGCCACATCAATATCGATTAAATAACTCGATCAGAACCGGTCCTATCCCAATCACTGTTACAATTCTTCATTGATTACAAACACGCCAACAAATTAATTAATTCAGTTGGGTTCTTCTCCGTATTATAATTCGTATGAACAATATTATTGCATCTTTTTTAGTGAGACGACACTCTAAATTCAAATAACAAATATTCTCCCAAACTATTCTTTGATAAAAACGATACAAGATATTAGAAAACAATAACGAACATTTCAAATGTCATATAAGTTTTTACTTTCCTCGAAAATGAGTATTAAATACGAGAAAATATACTGATTTACTCATTGATAGATACTTTAAATACAGGACAAAAGGTCATTAATTAAAACATTAGAATATACAGTGGCAGAAAAGAGTATCCATACGACGATAACGTTTACCATCAATTCACAATACTATTTTCAGTGTAACAACAGATTAAAAATGATTTTCATCAGGCAATAGTATAGTATAACATGTATATAATAGTATATAAATATATATATACGTTATACTATAATGTAAAGCTGTTCTAGCAGCCATGAAAATAAATCCTTCTTAACGGAATGTTACACTGAGTATTGTCAATTCGTAATACTGTTAAAATACGTTTTTCTTCGACTGTACGTCCTTCTAATGCCAATAAATCGATACTAACGGGTCGACAGTTTATTAATAACGAAACGCACCACGCTTTGTCGTTAGAATTGCAATCTTTCCGACACTGCACATCAACGTAACATTTAAAAAAAACAGTCCCTTATGTCTTTTAAATTAAATCTACGCGGTACACAGTTCGTATGCGTTCGCGCGACTCGAATTTCGCGCAAGAATTCACAGCGCAACCGTTCACTGCGCGACGTGGGCTGTCAGACGGACGGAAACACGTCAGAATTTCAAGATCGAACGATGCACAATCGGGTTGGACCGAAAACTATGACGCACATGTCGAGTCGAGAACGGTCCTCGAAGAAGTGGGTTCGCTTGAACCGCTGCTGGGTAAAGTTGAACGCCGGGCACATAGAAAACTTTCTCTCGCTTTCTCCATAATTATACAAAAAATTGATCTGTCTCTGTCGAGGAAGAAACTGAAAAGGTCCTATTTCGAGAACCGTTCCTACGTAATCCACCTGACAATCGAACAAACCGATTCTCGATATGGGATAATGCTGTCACCACGTATTTCGCTGTCACTTCGAGTCATTCAATGAAATTACCGGTAATCAACGACTGATTACATTTAATAAACAACAGGTGTACATTGTTGAGCAAGAACTTTATAACTAGGTAGTTGAATGTTTGAGAATTTTGACATGTAGAGGTTTTAGCGAATCTAACACTGTATTACGATGACATAAGTATGTATAGGAATCAGAATAATATGTATAGTAATAGTAATAAACTTGATCAGGAGATTACAGATTTAATATATTTATCGTAGAGGCAATTGTTTACAACTTAGTACAGTTATATTTTTAATACAGGTTACCGAGGTTTTTATTTTTTGTTAGACATCTTAATAAGCCAAGCATATTTCTATTTGCCTCCAATTTTTATAAGCTTCACAAAAGTCTATATTTGCATAAACATCCGCAGTTTATTGATCGGTAGTTGATAGAATTATACAAGCATTGGCAGCATACCACTTGAAAGCTAACGCAACAATAATTATTTTACATAATTTTAAATATAGAGTTCTAGTTTTAAGGAAACCGTAAATTAATGTATTGTATCAAAATATAAAAACTATTATTATATCTGATACTTTGAAAAGCTCACATTTTTTGTAACTAATGTATGGAGTCAAATGTTAAAAAGAGATTTCAATGTTTTCCCTCGGAGAGTTTATTAAGATAACGAGTAACGATAGATGAGAAATTCTATTGAAGTATTGACAGTTTTATTCTAATATAGTTCATACATTGATGTACGTTTCAGTTGCATAAAATCCGCAGTTTAGTTATGATAATTTCTTTAAATAACAATTACTGTTTCATTCTACAAATAAATAATGTTTACCAATGAATCGTAGTAATTATAATATACGTACGTTCTAATTAGTATTATTATCACTCTATAAGCATGGGTATTAATATTATTGCAATTATCATGAATATAAGGCTATTATTATGGGATAAATGATACGATACTATCACCATAATACGTGTCACTAGATAGAAGCAAATATAACACAAATTGTTAGACTTATGTAGTTATCTTATTTCAGCCATTTAATGCATAACATTAAACGAAGGAAGCATATTACTTAAAAGTATTTACATTTCTTAATTCATTAAATCGTTAAAATGACGAAAGGCTGACAACTGTCCACATAATAAGCAAAAACAAAGTAAATTAGAAAAATATAACTGCAGAAAGGATGTCCTTGAACTAATCCTAAACACCCGGAAGAGTATAAAAATCGAAGCGTTCGTGCATAACGGCCTCCACTTCTTCAAAGAAAATTATAATCAAAAGAGAATAAGCGTTACCAACAGAAATATATTTACAAAATACTTTTATTTCCTGTGTCATCGTTCTTATTCCAACACCGAACCGATGAAGTACAATTCAAGTTAGAGAAATTGATTTTAAAAACATTTTTTGAAAGTTCGATATTGTAAACCACACTTTTTATATAAAAAGAATTGAGAAAGAAATTGAATCAGAGACTTGAAAAATTACTGACAAAAATTGACACGAATATAGATAAGTCACTTCTAAGTAGTAACACGTTGTTACGTTATTTTATTTTGCAAAATAACATATCTGTAAAATACAATTGAATTTGTAAAAAGAATTATAATTTGACCATAGAAAATAATAAATTTATTTTCTGAAAACTTTTATGTTTTCCGACATTTCGTATACATATACGTAAATTTCATAGTAAAACAATATGCTAGAATTATTCTATTTGTATTCAACACTAAATAACTATAGTATCATTTTATTTGAAAAGAATCACAAATAAAAATCATGGGAAAGTATACTCCTGATAATTATAAAGAAATATTTATTTTAAAATCAAATTTCAAACACACGATTTCTATAATCTCTACATATTAAATAAATTTCTCAACGTTATAAACAAACATTGCATGACACGAGATTTATCAAACCTTATCATATTTTAAGAATTGTAGATTATTAAATTTTATTCGTTACATAAGTTTAGAGTTCACATAATGAATATATTTCTTTAGACATTTACAGCAACTTCCAAACCTATTAATTTAAACAAAACTGCTCACTTTACAGGATCGACTCGACAAAGCTACAGTCACAATCCATTACGAAATATATTCATCTCAAAATTGCAGTGTCAATATTTGCAAGGGAACCGAGGATCAAATAATTACCGAATTAATCAACAATCGTTAATCAGTGACCAGGGAATCAATAAACAATATGAACACTATCGAGTTAGAAATCGATAGTGAATCGGTTTACTTACCCAGGACTACAGTTTCACCGTGGTACAGCACAGGGAATTGCAATTTTTTGAATGGGTGCCTTCAATCAACGAGGAGAGCGTGTTCCACTGCGAATGATAGCAGAACCATCCCCTTTATATATCCTCGGCTGTCCGAGGCTGTTTTTCATTCATCGAATGTAAAATGGCTGGCACTTCTGTACACGCTTCTTTCTTCTCCGATTTTCATTGTTGTCTGGGGCAACCTTGATCGATCGTGGGGATGTGGTAGAGCCGATTTTTACATACGATTCGTTTTCCGTTAACCTGCTACACTTTCTGTCGCTTCGATTTAAAGAAAAATGGGACTCCATTTACCTACGATCAACAGTATAAACAATCGATCCCAGAAGAGTCTGAAGTCTTTGGTATTCGATCACCAAAAAAACGTGCAACGATTAATATTGAACATTGAAGTCACTGTGTTCGAAGGAATTTAATTATGTAACGCTTCGATATCTTTCGAATGTTTTAACGAATTCATTGGAAAATAGAAAAACGACGAATTATTTAATTCGTAAAGTGCCCAAGACTTTGAAGGTTGCAAGTAGTGATGGACATATCATTGTCAGACGAATATGGTGA